TATTCCCCTTCCCCATCTCCTGGGATTGCCAGGAAGCAGGAGGTGGGGTGGGGGTGGCCTGGGGTGGGGGGTGTTGCTTTTCTAAGGTTCATCGTGAGACTCTCTGCCTCCCTCAGCTTCCCGGCCCAGGGGAGCCAGAGGGAGGGAGCAGGGATTCACGTCCATTCCAGGTTTGAACTTGGGGGAGGAGCTGGACCTCCTGGAAGACTGAAAGGCAAGAGGGGCCAAGGGGTGTGTGTGTCCTGGCACATTGTTCCCTCCCATCCTCCTCTTTTTTCTCTCCTTCTAGATCCTCCATCTCCAGGTCTGAGACCCTAACAAACAAAATCTGCCCAACTACACCTATCCTAGACGTAACATTTCCTGGGTGCAAACACTCTAAGTTGCATCCGTGACAGGATGCAAGGGTGGCTGATGCCAGTCCTGCAGCCAAGAGGGTCAGGCCCACCTGTAATGCTGTGACTCTCACATCGTGACCCCAGGGCCCCTCAGCCCAGCAGGAGCCATCCCTGAGTTATCTGCATCTCCAGGCCCCCTTCCGGGCTTAAGGAGCACTTCCAGGTAAGGCCCTTCTCCCTGAGCGCTGCTTTGTTGGGCCTCTGCCACCAGTCTGGATGGGCCACAGCAGAGCTTGGCAAATGGGGGTGCCGTGGTGGGGGCTGCCCCTGGAGCCTGATGGCCTCCTGGAGGGGGGGTGTGGGGGAGGGGGCGTAGCTCACAAACAAGACTTGTGGGGAACATGCCTGCTCCAGCTAGAGCTGTTCCTTGCTCCCTCTTCTCGGCGTTTCCGGGGACCTTCCTACGTGGGGCAGGGAGTCCTGGCATTCCCTGCCGCTCTCCCCTTTTCCCGGGAAAAGAGGGGGGAGGAGAGAAAAGCCGTATTAATAACAGAATAAGATGCTGCGACGAACTCGCAGCGTGTGCAGCTCAGAATAGCAATGTGCTTTCTCAAGGCAAACGAAACTCCCCAGGTGTTAATGCAAATTCACTCCAGTTAAGATGAAAGAGGGTTGTTTCCCCCTTTGCCGGCTAATATGAAGGACTTAATAGATTCTGCCTCAGGAACTCGGCCGGGAGCGGAAGGCTGGGGGAGGGACGAAGGCGTGAGCAAAGAAGTGGGGGTCCCCGCGGGTTTTAGGGCAGAGCAACTGTCACAGCAGGCCTGGCCTGATGTGCACTCATGCTGTCTCAGCCGCTGTCCGAGCTGGCGGGAGCTGGACCCACTGCTGGGAGGAGGCGATGGGAGAGCCCAGGTGGCGGGGGCAGCCCCCTGCCCTGGTGCCTACAGCCCCTCACAGTAACTCCGGGGCTGGACCACAATTGCTACTCCCCAGTTTGTGCCGGGGGAAGGTGGGGCTGGGAGAGAGGATAGGGTGAGGCTGGCTGACCCTGCAGGGTACCTGCTTCAAGGCCAGCTGTGCCAGGGCTGTCCCCATGGGATCCCGGATCTGTCTTTTTTCGGCTCTCTGGAGGGTGAAACTGGCTTGACTGGACCTGGGGAGACCAGCCTGAGGAATTTGAGAAACATGACATTGGTGGATGGCTGGGACTGGAAGGGGCCTCCGATCCTCTGACCCTCTGAAGCCCAGGACATGGGAGCCCAGACGGTAGAAGGGACCTACTCAAGGCCACACAGCTGGAATTGGGAAGCTGGAGGGACCAGGATCTAAGGCCTGCTCTCCTGAAGCCCAGGCTGGACCCTGAGACGCCGGAGGGTTGGGGGACAGTCAGCCTGGGTGGCTCTGCCAGCCACAGGCCCCTTCCTCCCATGGGGGGAGCCCTTCTCCAGCCCAGACAATTCCAGACCACTCAGACTTTGCACACATGTGTCCCTCAGAATTATCCCCCAGTGGAAATTGTGCAGGGGCCAAGCTGGGGGCGTGGGGGGAGGTACATCCAGCGCCAGGTGTGTGCCGGGCCCTAGGAAGGTATCTCTGGATGAAGGAAGACTTCAGGGAGGTCCAGGGGAGGGTGGGCAGGGGTGAGGTGTCCCCATCGGTCTACTTCCCGCGTCTGAATTTAACTCCTCTCTCCGGGTAAATGGCACAGCAGGTGCCTGCAACCAGACACCTCCGCAGCCTTCTTCACTTTTGTTTACTGACTTAATTCCTTCAGATCAAAGGCTACGCCTTCCTCCCAGAGCAGGCAGGCGGGGGAATTACATTATTTATATTAGAAATGGGCAAGACTCCACGGGGACTTCTTCCTTATGCCTGATAAGAGAAAATTAGGTCACTGCTGTGCCCATCGCCCCCCCATCCAAGTGTCTGCAGTGGGTTTTCACGGTCTGGGTACCCACAGGCTCACGGAACTGCTCCAGGTGCAGAGCAGAGGGCTGCCCACAGAGCCACTCTCCCACCCTGAGACTCCAGTAAATTATTGACTGGAGCAGCAGGTATTAATATGACAAAACCAGAACATCCTTTCCAGGCAGTCCCAGCCTGGGTTATCTGTCATCTCCTGGGCACTGCAGCTGGCACTGTGCAAACACAGTGAGGACAAACAAGCCTGATACAGGTCATTAAGCCCCTGGTGCAGGTGGAGGGATGGGGCCCAGGTGGGGGCCACAGGTGGGCCTGGTCTCTCTGAGCTGGGGCTCTCCCTGGGTCACCACCGCTCTTTTCTCTGCATCCTCCTGCACCACCCCACTCCCCAAAGGAAGAAAGGGTCACCTGCCCCAAATGGCACTGTGCTTAGAGCTTTCTAGGCATTATTAATCCCTGTGAAACCCTGTAAAACTCCCCTTTTAGATGAGGAAACTGCAGTGCCCAAAGCTAAGGTAACTTCCCAAGGTCACATGGCCGCTAAGGGACCAAGCAGAGATTTGAAACCAGGTCTTCCTGAGTTCCAAGTCAGGGGCCCTGAGCCCCTCGGCTATGTGGTTTCCTTAGCCCTCTGCACAGCTGGGTGTGAAGCAAAGATTTCATTTTTTTCCGTGATCACTGCTTCTATCACTTGTGAATAATGGCAATGCTGCTACACATTCTCATCCCTTTTTCCTAAGACATCTGAGCACTCTTTGCATCTCTTCTTCATGTTATCCTGACAACATCTCAGAGGTACCCAAAGGCGTCCCCGCCAACCCTCTTTACAGAGCGAGCGTGCAGCTCAGCGGAGGGGCGAGCAGGCTCGGCTGTGGGCCTCTGCAGGAGTTGTCTTGATGTCTTCGGCTCAGAGGCAACGTGCCAGGTGCTATTCTGGGGCTACTACCCTTGCGAGAAACAGGCATCAAGTGGGAGCCGGGAGGGGACGCGGCGGGGGTTCCTCTGAGTCAGCTCAGGTCCTGGGGGCGCTGATGCACCGCGAGCTGGCTCCTTGTAAGCGCACTCCGGACTCCCTGCTGCTGCGGCTGCGGCCGCAGCATCCTGCCATAATGCAGTAATGACAGGCTGCCAGGGAGCCCCACCGCGGCCCGGGTGCGGGAGAGGAGCCCTTGGCCTCTCTCCGCTGCCTGGGCTGTCTGAGAGGGAGACGGAGAATACGCGGATGGCTCGACTTTCTCTTCCCCAGACGCGCAAGAAATTGGATTAGACACGGCTGTGGCAATCTGCTCACCAATACCTTTCCCCCCGGGGCCCTGCCGCCAGCTCGCCGTTACCTGTGGGTGGCTCGCGACCCGCTCCTCCAAAGCAAAAGCTTCTGGGGTGGGCTGCCCTGGGAACAGCTGCCAGCGCTCAGCGCAGGCGAGGACCACAGAAAAGGATGAAGGGCTGGCAGGGACGCCAGAAGGAGCCACTCAGGGATCCCCGGGGACCGGGTTGCAAACACCACAATTAAACACTGTCTGGCCAGCAGCTCTGGGTTTACAGCATGGTCAAAACAAACTAAAACAAAAAAACAAACAACCCCCTCCCCCACCAAAAGCAGGGAATTCAACTGGTCTCTCCAATACCAAAGTATCAGGCAGTATTATTAATTCTAACCCCACTGAATGGAGACCCCAGGATCTGTGAGAGCATATTATCATCTTTACGGATCAGAGGTTGGCTTTAAAAAAAAACAAATTCAGGTAAAAATATTGTCTAGACAGTTTCAAATGACCAGTATTCATGAAGTACTTTCTCTAGCTTGAACAAAATCATTGAAAATAACAACCTACACTGAAGAAATGCAGCAGTTTCATGTTACTTAACTAACAAAAATAGTTGAATTAGTTGTTAATTCTATACATTTAAAACTAACAAACACACTATTGGTTAAAAATTGTCTAACTCTCTAGTTTTACAACTTCATACATATCTTTCCAAAATACATAAAAAGCTAGTTATATTTAATTCAAACTCTTGGAAATCTTTGTGTACTTTGAGAGGTTATTTTCCTCATGGGCTGGCACAGTGGACTGCGCTCTGACGCGCGGCAGGCAGCACCATGGTCCCTCAGAAGTCCTCCGAGAACACGGCTTGCCCCCTGAGTCTCTGTTTCAGGTTGTGTGATTTGGGATAGAATTACCCTATAGTAGTTTTGGTCTTAATAAAGGACTTTTGTTGATCAGAAGAATAGAGACAGGCAAACAAAACCAACTTCAAGTGTGAGTGGCAACAGCTGTGGCAACAGCTGGGCCTTGTCCGTCCAGCAGGAGGGCCCGGGCCCCCAGGGGCTCTGTGTGCACCCCGCCTCCTGCACACTCCTCCTCCGGAGCCCAGAATGGGGAACCCAGAAGCAGAAGGGCCTGGAGGGATCGCCAGGCTGGAGCCCTAGTTTTCAGGTCTGGAATCGAGGGTGGGTAGGAGGTGTGGCAAGGACGCGGAGGGACTGGGACCCCGTCCAGAGCCCTTTCCACAACCCAGCCTGCTCCACAGGACACAGGAGGGGATTCTCAGGTGAAGGTGCCTGCAGGGGTGCTGTCGTCAGCCCAGAAAAGGCAGCCCTTTCACTACCAAGACGTGGGGCTGGCGTTGAGGTCCTGGACGTCAGGGGAGCCCACAAAGGGGGCCCTGCCACCCAGCCCCAGTTTTGCCACCTCAATGGCTGGAGCGACAAGCAACTGAGGAGGCTCAAGATGAATTTTTTACAGCTTATAATTTTTATTAAAACAAATCATTTAAATTATAACAATCCCCCAGAATAGAAAAGAGCCTTCCCTGGTCTGGCCCTGACAGGAGGCGGGACTCGGGCCCCACAGAAAGAAGTGTGGTTTGCCGTCTTTGACAAGAGCTTCCCAGGAAGCCCAGAGGGGCCGGCCTGGCCCCTGGGCAGCTGGCAGAGGGCATCTCCCCAGGCCCCAGCCCTGCCAACGAGCAATACCGGGTCAGGTTGCCAGATGTCAGCCTCAGGACTTGCTGTTTGATTTGAAAGAGAAAAGAGAGGGAGAGAGAAAGCTGTCCCCAAGACTACAAGGCGCAGTCACTCAAGAAGTGTTATATGATGCCTGTGGAGCAGGGCCCGGCGGGCACAGCAAGGGTCAGAGCCACTGCGACTGAGGTGGGGCCGCGATCGGGGTCAATGAGGTGGCCTGTGTGGAACAGCCGAGTGTCGCCAGCACCGTGTTTCTAACTGAGGACCATAGGAAGCACTTGGACTGAAACATCACGGCCAGGGCCCTGCTCTCAGTGGAGGTCAGAGGCTTCCTTACTCAATAAGCTCCTAGGCCCTAAAATTGTTCACTGAGAACTCAGTCACCTCGGCCACTGGCACAAGTCTCTGGAAACCCAGCTCCTCACTCATTCCTTCTTCTGCTGAGCCCGAGACCTTTCTGAGGGCCACCATGCTCTTCACTTATCCATCTTTGGGAGGACAGGCCAGCTCTTGTCCCCCAGGAGGGCTGAGACAGCCCTACCGGGTCTGCTCCGGGCCACAGGATGGTCCCTCCACGGCTCAGATGCCCATCAGCTCCCCCATGGCCGCCTGGCTTGGCATTTCCCACACAGCAGTTAAATAACAAAACAGCAAAGGCTGACGTTTTTATAAACGGCCACCACACTGTGCCCACTGCCACTGTCACAGACTGAATTTACAGGTCAGGGGTGGGTGAGCCTGAGGAGACAGCCTCACAACCGCCAGACCTTCCCTTACAAATGCCTGAGGACCCCTGCTGGGACCGTGTCTGAGGAAGAGGCCTTGGAGAGACAGGGAGACACGAGGGAACCTTCCAGCCACAGCCGTTCAGGCTTAGTGTCCAGATTTGGGGTTCCACCCTGCATGTCCTAAGGGACTAGGGTGACACACAGGGCTGGCTTCCTCTGGGCAAGGTGGCCCAAGAAGGCGGAGACCAGCCCTAGGACACCGCTTGGTCAGCTTGACTACTGGAAAAAGGCAGGGTATCTGTGAGCTTCTCAGTTTCTCAAAACCAGGGATTGCCAGACACCACCTCTGCTCACAGGATATCTCTGGGCCCTCACGTCTTCATTCAGTAAGCGTCTTTTCACTAAGACTCATCCCCAGCTCTGCATAGCATACCCAGCTCTGCATGGAAGGATGTGAACAGCCCAGCAGGTCACAGCAGCACACCGGCTGCAGAGGGGAAAAAAGGGCAGGAAAGTGGCCTTAAATTAAGGAGTGGGTATTGGCCGTGGGGTGGCTCTGTGACCTGCTGCCGCCTGGCATGCAGGGGCTCACACACCAGCAGGTGCAGAGCACTGACTGTGAGGGGTCAGCTGCATCTGGCTGGCACTGGGTGGGGCACAGAGGGACCCTGCACGGCCCTCAAAGAGATGAGGACAATGGCCAAGGAGGCCCAGGTACAGGGATTGGTTGGGAGGACCTTGCTGGCATGTAGCCAGGAGGAAAGAGGACTCAGGTCAACAATGCAGCCTGGGGCTGGGGGGAGCTGGGTGTCAGGCCCCCAGAGCCCTACAGAGACCCCCCCATCATGGCTGGGCTACCAGGTGATGACCAGAGTGATGGGGCGTCCCCTGCCTGCCACGTGCAGCAGAGGCCACAGCCAGAGGAGGCTGGTAAAGACCCACCACAGCTGGAGAGGCCTGGGAAAGACCTGGGGCCATGCCTGGTTCTCAGACCCGGGTCGGGGTGGCAGCCGGCTGGCAGTGCATGATCTGTGGTGCAGGCTCTCCCGTGGCTCTGCTGGCCTCCTGGGCCCTCTGCTGGCCACCAGCCCTCCATCACAGCTTCTGCCTAGTCCTCCCTTGGGCACAGCTGCCTTTCCCGTTCTCCACCAGTGGGCAGCCAGAGCCCTGCCTCTGGGGTGCCTGGGCCGAGGACCCAGCACCTGGCCTGCCGTGAACCTAGGGCAAGCTCTCCCGTGACGTGAAGATGGCAGGCCGCTCTGGGCCTGGGCTCGGGTGGGCCATGCCAGTTCCTCATCAGGGAAGGAGGTGAATGTTCTGGAACCCAGGGGAAGGGGGGATGGCACCAGCCTTCTGGTCTCTGGGAAGCCTGTGCCTTCAGCTACCCCCCAGCCTGGGCTAGGGGCAGGGTGGGGGGGGTGGTCAGTGCTGGACAGTAAGACACACCCCAGGGGGGTTTGGACGCAGGAAGCTTGGGACCCCACATCAGACGAGGGAAGACAAACACTTACAAAACTCAAAGACTCAGGTCAGGAGAACCAGAGTCCAATGACAGAACTCTGCAGGGTCCTAGTTCAAGGCAATTGCACATGGAGGAGGCCAGGCTCTGCTCAGCTGGGAGAAACTCCAGAGCTCCCACGGAAGCTCCCCGCCAGCCCACCTTCAGACGCTCCCACGGCGTCCAATCCGGCCTGTCGGTGCCGGGAGCAGAAGTGGCCGATGCTGGAGTGGCTGGGTCACCTGCTAGAGCTCTTCAAAGAAGGCCACTCGAGACTTGGCGCTCTGCAAGGTCAGCTGCAAGAAGCAGAAAAGACATTGAAAGGGGGGCTAGACCTCCGCTGTCACAACAGGATGCCATCCTGTCTTGGGGACTAACCTCAAAGGTGGTGTGGGGTGACAGGGAAGATGGCTCAAGATGTTCAAGAAGCTGGTGGGCAGTCCCAAGTGAGTTTCCAGATTTGTCCAAGAGCTCAAATTAGGAGGTGACAAATGAGGACATGCCAGGAGGGATGGCTGGTGGGCAGAAGCACGTCAGCAAGAAAGTGACACCAATGTCGCCTTTTCACAGAGGGCAGGAGATCCCTAGGCATTTTAACAGATTCTCACATTCCCATCTACAAAGGAGTCTCTAAGATGCCTGTGTATGTGCTGCCTGCGCTGGTGCCAGCCTGGGGGCCCCTCTGCTCCAGGGTCGAGGACCAGCTCAGCAGTGCAAGCATCTCGGTCCTCACGCCCTGGGACACTGCTGGGGCAATGTGACCTGGTCTCAGGTAGGGAAGGCCCGTGTCGGGTGAGGACGAGCTTGTCCCTTCCACTCCCCACGTGGCCCCAAAGCAGACTTGCCCATGAGCTGGCAGCTGAGAGGGTGTTTCCATCCACAAACTCCGAGGCAACAGGCTTTCTAGGTGGGGCTGCGCGTGGGCCAGTGCTCTGGGCAGAAATGGCGAGCCCCTCCCAGGATCACCTCCCTGAGAAGAACCAGGCTGGGAAGATGCAGAAGGGAGGGGGCTCCGAATCCCAATTTCCCGACTCCGCAGGCCACTTCCCAGAAGCTCCCCCAGCAGCAGCATCTGATGGGGGCCCCTCCCAGTGCTCTGCTCCCTGCTCTGCTCCTGAGATAACCACCCGGGCCAGGCTGTGTGCTCCACCCCCAGCGCTGGGACTTCGCAAAGGAGGGTTTTCAGGGAGGGGTATGTACTATTTCTCTTCATACCCCAAACCTCTTAGCTTACTTTGCACCTAGTAGGAGCTCAGTTTTCTGAGTGAATAAGAAGTAGGCGATTATGATAACAAAATGGTGAGATGCCAGGGGGAAAGGAGAGCTCCACAGGGCGGCGCTGGGAAAGCCCAGCACTAATTCTCTGACCTCAGTGGACACTCTTGACCTCTCTGAGCTGCTTTCCTCTGGACTTAAATGGTGGGGGCAGTTTAGACGGTCTGGTCCATTCCCTTGACCTCTAGCAGTCTCTGAATCTGAAGAGAGCCCGGTACCATCCTTGGCTCTCCAAAGGGCGGGAGAGGAAGACTCCAAACCAACCACTTCACCATCAAAGACACGTGGCATCAGTGCACTCAAAAATGAGACAGCTTGAGAGCCGGCTCTTTAAATCCTGCCAAATCTTTTGGCCTTGAAGTTCCCGACTAACAAGCTAAATGCAGGGAGGCATCTGAGCTGTTTTCTTCAGTGGAACCAATTTCAGAAGCCCTTTGGAAAGCCAGCTCTAATGGGAATGAAGGGAGCTTTCATTTCTTTGCTGAAACAGAATTCCCTCTAGAAGGATGTACTTCTCCCTGAACACAACCAGAGGAGAAGGGCCAGGAGTTGTGTGCTCTGTAGTAACAGGAACCAGGATGGTCACTGGGGAAGAAAGAAGAAAGAGAACCAGAGAGCCACGGGGGCATAAATCCTCTTAGGGGAGAGTGTGAATCAAAAGGTGCGATCCCCCCATCTCCACTCGGTTTCCTCCCACGCTCCTGGGGAGGCCTCAGGCCGGCCCCTCAGGGGACAGGGGACTTGCGGGGCACAGGGCCAGGCCGCAGTCCTTCCCTCCACACACCGAGTCACACACAGGCACAGCCAGACTGCCTGACCCAAGCCCGTCTGGGCCGGTCGCTGACTCCCTCTGGCCTCAGTTCCCCACCATGAAGCAGGGGTCGTGGCAGCCCCCTCCTCGGGGTGACATGTGGAGGGAAAGATGCGCTGTGAAGAGCTCAGCTCCTCACCTGGGCACCGTGAAACTCAAAAGCTGTTATTACTAATAGCAGCATCGCGTTTGTCGCTGCCCCCTCCTCCTGGGCTCTGGCTCCTCTCCTTCCAGGGGTTGCGGGGCAGAGTGCGGGTAGAGAGGAGGCCAGCGAGGGCAGGGTGATGTGCTGTGCTGGCCTCCAAGGCCTCTGAGGCGGGGTAAGCAGATGCCTCCAGAGGCCTGGCCACTTCCCCAGGCAGGGAGCCCGGGCCGTGGGGGCCTCCGAGGGCCTCCTGCCCATTTGTACAACATTGGCTCCAAGAATTCCTGGATCCTCTACCCAAGCTGCGTGCTGGCTGTCCCCTCGAGGTGCCAGGGAGGCTTCTGGCAGCTCTGGTAGCGCCAGACTCCAATTACTCGAGCATGTGCTGGTTGGGAGGCGAAGCCCTCTTCCGGTGGGCAGCACACTGCCTGGATCCCACCCCAGACGGCATGGCAGCAGCTTGGCCTGACCTCATATCTTGCAAGAAGACAGAGACCATGTTCTTCTATAAGCATGAGGCTGCTGGAGGGACCGGCAGAGCCACGGGATAGAGGTGGCTGACGTGGCTGCTGACACCCAGGGCACTGGCTGCGTGGTGGTCCCAATTCCATTAGGAACCCCGTTGTCAGAGAAAATTCTCGCATGAGCCAACTGGCACTGCTGGAATGCTGCCAGGCGCCACCCCGGCCTCTGTCCGCTCCCACCTCAGCAGCATCCTTTATCTCAGGCATCTCCTGTGCTGGACAGCAGGTGGGGGAGGCAGGCAGTGAGGATCTGTGGATAAGCGTGGGCTTCTTTCCTCCAGGCGGGGACTCAGACACCCAGGACAGGGAGGCCCCTCTTGGGGCACTGCTGGCAGTTGAGCTCTCAGCCACAACTCGACTGGGCAGACTCCCCTTTCTATGGGATCCCTCACCCCTGCTGTTTCTAGACAGCTCACTGACTGTCCTGTGTCTAGTGCAGCTACAGGCAGGAGGCATTTGAAAACGAGGAGGGCAAGGCTCAGAGGAAACGTACGAAGCTAGCCCTTCAGAAAGGGAGCTGCCCCCGCAGGTCTTCTTTGTGCAACCATGGAAATCGGCCCCTGCTACCCTCTCCCATTCTAAGGTGTATGAGCCAGGTCAGTGTCTGGTCCGCCTTCTTGCTCAGTAACGGGCCTGGCTCTCTGTACAGCATGGCAAAGGTACCACGAGATGATGCGACCGAGGCCTTGCTTCCTGCGGTGAGAGCCAAGCCGGCCTCGTGAGTCGCACCCACCACCCTGCATCCCCTCTGGTGGCCAGCAACTCCCGTCCGCCCAGCCTGACAGCTCAGGGGTCACGCCTCCAGGACTGGGGGGACCCCCTGAGTGCACGGACACGGCTCTACGATCGTGCTGTAGATGGTGAAACACAAAAGCATCAGGATGCAGACAGACAAGCAGGGCAGCGGTGGCATCATTCTGGAACCTGCGAGTCTGGTCGGCCTTCTCTGAATGCTTCTGGGGATGAGCGGGTAGAGTTCTGCCCACATGTGACCGGTGATCAGGTCTGCCCTGAGCTGGCCAGGACTCCCACCAAATCCAGACGGGGAGGCCGGGCCACGGAGTCCTGGGCTCACACCCAGCTCCTCCAGGGGCTCTGCACCCCCTCGGCCCTGCACGAAGCCTCCCCACAGCCCTCTTGCCGGTTCCTGAAAGATGACAAGGGAACACGGAGTTTCCTCACCAGGCACGGGGCTGACCACTTCTCTCTTCCAGCTGTCTCCTCACATCTGATTAAAATCAGCCGTGTGAACAATACCGGAGGAACTGAGTTCTCTCTTGACTGAACCGGCTGTTCAAGTCTGTCATGAATCCAACTCCATTCTCAGGAGACAAACTTCCTTCCTTTTCCCAGCTGCAGATCTGTACAGCTTGGTTTCCCTCTTTGGGGGGCTCCGCTCCACCACTGGCCTGGCCCCTTCCTCCTGCCCAGCCTTGACAGACGCAAGCCTGGCAGAGTCACTCCTCCTCCTGCCGGCTTCCCATCATACTGCCAGTTGTTTGTGACAGCCACCAGGCTATGAAAGGCCAGGACAGGGAGCCACTTGGCAGAGCGAGGCCTCCCGACACCACCCGAGCTATGTGCGGTGTGACCACACGGACACCTCCACCCAACTAAACCAGTTCAGATTCAGGAGACACATCTGTCTCCTTAAAAACAGGAGGCTGGCTCCCCTCAACCCTAGGGAGGACCTGGTACGCAGCAGCCTCTCCAGAACCCAGGCATGCATGCAGTGTGCAGACTCAAGGGCTCCTGCTGGCCAAGGATTTCTGGCAGCTCATCGAGATACAAAGACCTGGCCTGGCCCAAGCCTGAGAGATGGCCCCAGGGTCTTGAGACCACAAGCCTCGAAGGCACCGTGACAAGCACCAGGCTCACCCTCCCTCCTCACTGCCCTGCGGTGAAGGCTTCCAGCTACAGAGCGGCTCCAGCATCATTCCCAAGTGTGCCCCCTGCTGGAAAAACACAGCCCCCGGCTGGCTGCCAGCTCTCTCCTTCCAGCTCTCCTCCGAAAGTCCTTTTGGGGGGATCATTTCCCAAAGTGAAGGGACAGTAACAAAACGGATTCCAGCACGGAGCCAGCGGCAGCAAGACTGCTTGATTAAGAATGAATTACACTTTCATCAGCACATGGAGAAAACTGATTCACAAGGCCGCATTGTGATAATCTTGTTCAAAGCAAAAGGGGGTGGCGTGGGGGTGGGCAGGACACAGAGCCACTTTGGCTATCGACGACGACGAGAGAGAAGAAGCTCTACAATCAAGCAGGGGGTGGGGTGGGGTGGCGAGCAAAACTAATCAGAGCGCCAGGATTCCTCCAACTAGTCTCAGGGGGCCTCGCCTCAACCTGCTCATCCCAGGGGAGGAGTGAGGAAGGTACGGGTTGGGGTGGGGGGAAGCGTCTAATTCATCTTAAACAGTAAGACCCACAACGCTGAACCCATTTTAGATCCTAACCTATTAACTCTAGGCGGTGAGACTCTGCGTGTCCCATAAAAACGCAGTGGAATTGAAATGCAAGCCCTCATATCACGTTACACTTCCTCTCCGCCACTACATATTGAAAATGAAGGTGCGGGGGAGGGCGAAGATACAAAAGGACACGCAGATTCTCCACCAGGAGCAGGAAGGTGACAGCCAAATCCAGCAGCAGCAAATGCAACATAATCTCTGGTTTGGGGTGTGATAAACATTCCCCTTCCACACCGAAGCTGAGGGGCTAGGGCCGGTGAAGGGGGGTGGCTGCTGTACACGGGCCAGATTAAGCTATTCTGCTGTCTTGTTAGTTGACAGCTTGCACCCAAATGCCATCTGGGGATGTGCACTGGGAGAGAGCTGTCCACACACTTATCCCTAAACAGAGGTGGGATGAAGGGCCTGAGATCACCGCAATGAACAAATCCAATTTGGAATCAGCTACTTTATCTGATCAAGAGAGAAATCTGCCCAGGGAAAACCCAGAGGGTGCCTTTGGTTTATTAATCCTTTGGGGACCTAAAGCAGCAGAATGATGCCTGGAAACCGGAGTCTGCCTGTGTCTCAAGCTGCCTGTATGATGCTGATGGGGCCGGTCCCTTCCGCCACCTGGAAAATGGACTTTTCAGCCTGATTGACCTCACTGCGCAGGGGGAGGCTAGCTGATGGGCACAGAGCCCTCCGAACGAGCACCTTAGGGAAACAGTACAGACAGACCGATGTCATTTCAAATTGCCAATATCAGGAGGGGTATCACAGCAAGGATCCTAAGAACAGAACCTCGGAGCTGCAGAATGAGTTTGCATCCCGACTCCTCCCTCCTGCCGTTGCAGACACAAATCAGGTGCTGGAGGAAAGCGGCACTGAAACGTATCTTTGGTGCTGAGGGACCAAATGAGATGTTTTACTGCATCAGACAAGGCGCACTAATGTCCGCAGGCACTTCCAAATGGTGGGCAAATAGCCTAGCAGGGCAAGGCAGCCTTGGTGGGCTCCTCACTGCCTCCCAAGGGCAACTGCGTGACCAGGTAGAGTCTACCCACCAAAGGGAGGGACTGGATCGTGGTCTTGTGGAAAAGTCTGGTAGAGTCTTCTACCCAGGGCACAACCAGGAATAAGCAAGAAAACTGGAAGCCATGGACAGTTAAGAGGCACATGGACGTTCGGTCTGTGTATGACGTAGGAGGAGCCTTTGGGGATGAGCCCAGGCAACATGTCCAGGAGGAGGGCACTTCCTGAGACCAGCCCTGATCCAGGGTGCCTCCTCTGTGCTTCCCACAGAGCCACTGCCCCCTCTCCTGTGAGTTCTGCATCCATATCCAGTGCCTCTGCAGCTCCGCGCTGCCCCGGGATCCCCACCCACTCCCACACCCCCTTCTCCTCCTCCCTCCCACCCCCGCTCTGTTCTCACAAAAAAGGAACATCTGGAGCCAGGGCACTGCCTTTCATGTCAGACAGAGGGTGCTCCACCAGACAATTGAGAGGGGTTGTCAAAAGTAGGCGGACCCACTCGGCCCTGAGTGGGGTCTGGGCGACTGAATGTATTAACCACGTGCGTGGCATAGACTGTTTGGCTGCCCTGTCCAGGCAGGTGATGCCGACTGACCAGAGGTCACGAGGGAGGCCCAGCCATTTGCTTTAGTGGTGGGAGACGCCTTTCATGCATATTCAGTCTCACTCCCTGATTTATTACTGCCCTGGGTGTTTTAAGTGCTCTCCTTCACTTGGCCAGCCCTGCATCTCCAAGGGGAGTCTGTGCAAATTGAAGATGACATTGGACTTTATGTCTTTCTGATCCCAAGGAGGTGGCTGGAGCGTCAGATTAATGCCAAGGCTCCTCATTCCCGCTCCTGCACCAGGGAAACCACAGCTGGACCTGGATGGTCCAAACCACTTACTAATAAGCTTTCTAAGTGCTGCTACCCCCAGGATCTCTCATCTGTAGATTTCCTTTGAAGTCCTGTGCTTCCTTGGAGACCATGGGCACAGAAATGATGACAAGTTTGCTGGCACTCAGACCAGCCCAGGATCCAGGAATGGAACAGTCCCCTGAGGGGATAAAGGGTGTGACTGGGTGTTCACCTCCACACTGTGTTGTGCAGGTAAGTCGCATCTGGCCAGCACCCACCTCATCAGCAGGGTGGCTCTGAAGGCAAGAGGCTTGAGCCCAGGACACCTGCATCCCCCTCCGCCCCGCCTCCCCAGCCTCACAGCCGGACCTCACTCCCTCCCTCAAAAGACTCAGAGTCCAGAGACACATTCTCCCCGCCGAGAATAACATGAATCTAGGTTCTGGGCAGCTTTGGATCATCAGTGCCTCTTGGACTCACATGCAAATGCCAAACCAGTTAGTTGCACTAATGATCAACTGGGAGAAAATGGCAATGTGCTGAGTGGAGATTAGCAGAAGGAGAAAAATATACCCTTGCAAACCCAAATCAGATAGTAGAATAAGTGGAGTTAATTCTGGCTTTTTAAAAGATTTTACCTCCAAACACAGGGAAACGAAAACAATAAGTGGATATGTGGGTAACGAGTCGTGCATATGAATAGGTGTGCTGTGTCCTGCTCCAGGCTCACAGGCAGATTTGTTTCTTTATGTAATTTTAAGCCCCCACTGGGCTTGTAGGGTAAACTGTTTCCTGCGCATTACCTCATTTAATCCTCATAACAGTCCTGGGGGGTCCGTGCTGTCTTATTTCCTTTTTATAGGTAAGGACACTGAGCCTTAGGAGAAGCCTTAGAGAAAGTAAGTGGCGGTGCAGCAGCAACCCGGCACAGCAGACCGGACTCCCTCATGGCACTGACCCATGGGTAAACCCTTGGAATTAGCTTAAGCGTGATGAGACCAGAGGGTTAGACACTGAGGCCTCTCTGGGAGGCAGGAGAGGACTGACAGCAAGGGGGAGGGGTACACCTGGATCTCGGGAGGTAGAACCATTCTTTCCTTGAAGAAATCTATGATCAAAACGCATGAAAAACAAAAATCAATGCAGGCTGGTGTGAACCAAGACTAATGACAAGATTTAGGACACCAGAACTCTCCAGTCCACCACCAGTCTGCATTTCTCATCTCAGACTTTCTAGATGGAGCTCTGCCCTTGACAATCTAGGTGCCCACACTTCTCTCAGTGAGGCTCACTTTGGCCCAGACTGCAGCTGGCACAAGGCCAGAGCCGCCTCAGCACAGCAGGTGGCTGGCCGTCAGTCTTGGTCACTGGCCAAAGGGACCACTAACGTCTAGAAAGTGAAAAGTACATCAGACTTCATATGTAGCAAAAGCCACCACTAATTAATCTGATGATGCTGAGGTAACTCCAGCTGCATTAAAAGCCAACTCCATTTTATTAACCCTTGTTTAATCAGAATTCTTGATGAACAGGAACCTGGCAGCCTATTTTTGCAAACAAGTTCACATCAAGACATTAAAATAAAAAAAAAAAAGGCTCTGTGCATGTCCCAGGAGCAGCACAAGCTTGACTACAAATCAAACCTCATTTGTCTATAACAACAGCTCAGTGAGAACTGACGGTCAAAACCAGGTCCCTGAAGAATTTAAATGTTCTGAATCATTACAGAAAGAAGAGAGATGAAATCATATCCAGGTAGAACAGTACGGTCACACGTAGGGAATATCCAACAGCACAGACTGTAACAAAAACGGATTTTATGCATGCCCCTGTGCCAGCCACGGGGTCCAGGACGCCTCAGTGGCTCTACCCCGGGGTCCCTGGGTGTCCGGGGTCAGTACTTGAGCAGATGGTCCGCCTGGCCCGTCTGTTCCAGTGCTCGTCCCAACTGCCCGGCACCCAGCACATGCTGTTTGGTGTTGGTAAGTAAGCTAAAGAAATAGGAGCCCGCTAAATAAAAGTGTCACACACAAATTGTGGTTCACGCCATGGGTTCTTGGAACCACTGACAGATCGAATCCATCTTATAATGAGATCCATCTGGGACTTTAATAGCTAACCTCTCTTGCTTGGATAGCGACCATAAATAGGATCTATCCGATGCCAGATCACACTTTTTTGGTATAAGGAGTCCAATGGGCTGATTTTATTCTAGGAGCAGAAACCACAGTAAGGACCCCAAAGGTCACATCCCATGAGACTGTCGGGTGTTGGTGGGCTCACTGGTGTGGGTACCACTGGGGGTCAGGCAGGAGCAGAGGCAGGATGTTATTTTATTATTGAGCATAATAAATGCTCTTCAGTGCCTCTGCATGTTGGGAGAATAATGAACTGTGGCAGAAGGGAAGCAGCAATCATTCAGTTAATTCACTCAACAAGCACTGACTGCCCGTCTGCTGGGTGCCCACGATGGCAACGTCCCGACGTGAGTTCACGCCGACCATGACCGCGCCGCGGGCCATGGAGGAGCCGAAGCAGAGACGGCCGTTAGCGCTGACGGAAGACGGTCCACTTAGACTGACTACAAATCAGACCCCTGTGCCGTTGGTTTGCTTTACTTGAAAAGAGTGTGGACGTGTAGAGAAAGGGAGGAAAATGGGGGAGTGTGGGCAGCCCCTTCAATCTGTGACCAGAAGCTGCCAAGTGGGACCAGGGATCTTCAGAGGCTGTCACCCCGTGAAAGGTCTTGATCTTGAGTTAAAGACACCAGTCTTAAGAGCACCCAGATTTACCCCGTTTCCATGCTAGGGTTATTTATCTAAGGAGTATGCCACCAAAACAAAGGACTTGAGACAGACCTGACTGGACAAGAAGCCATGACCTTCCCCAGCCCGACAATGACACAGGATGTGAAGGGTGGCTGGTCCTACAGCCCCGCAACATGCTCTCCAGAACGAGGCAGGCTTCTGGCCCCTGGAGGCTGGTCTGGCCACACAGGGCGGACGCCTGCTCTCAGACTCAAGCATGCTGCAGCCAGTCCCCAGGCGCCACCTGCTGCGGCGGGGCTCGGCGGGGCCGGCGGACAGAGACAGGCAAGCTCATGCAGGGGTTAGTATCACAGAGGGCAGTCCCGTCACCACATACAGAGTACCTGGGAATAACCTACTTTGAGGGCTCAAATGCAGATAGGTCTTCTGCCTTGGGCTTGAGGCTAAACCAGCAAAATAAAACGAAGAGAAACAAAAACACACCCTGTGATATCAACAATGCCACATGTGCCATTTGCAAAATGCTCAGACAGGCCTGAAACTGTGACAAGTGACTTCATTTGTTTGTTTTTATGGCTTGGAAACGGGTCTCTCCAGCTTTCAGCACGCCAGGGCCCCGTGGCTGAGGGCCCGGCTCACCGCAGCCGCAGCAAAGACGAGCCTGCCCGGCGCCCAGAGGAGCGAGCTGGGCAGGGAGGGTCCGCGGCAGCTTCTTCGAGGGCTGATGGGCTCGCTGGCCCGGTCATCCTTCTGCCCCTCGGCTCACTGGCTGAGGCCACACCCCAGCTCCCCTTTGCTGTTTCATAATTTGGTTTGAGAGGGAAACTCAGTTAAGTTATAGAAGTCAGAGGAAAAAAGAACGTGGAACATGGAAAGTTCTCTCCTTCCAAGTCACAATATTAAAGGGAATTCTCTACTCGCTGCCAATACTAACTGAAGCCAAGAGGGAAGATTCAGGGCTCCTGACTTTACCCCTCAACCATGGCACGGATCTCAGAGTTTTCAGACACAGCCTACCACTGCAAATAGATAGTCCTCAAACTGGGAGACCATTTTAAAGACCAAGGTAAAGGGTAAAAAAATTAGACATATCTAAATATCATTATCTAAACTCAATGAACAGTCTTGTCTCATCGACCCCCACTTTGCAGGTGTTAACCTGGTCCTGGGGTATGAGAAAAGAGCAGACATCAACTGGCAAGAGAGGCCCTCTCTGCTTTGCCCGGCGTAAGAGGTATACTCTTGGGCTGATGGATAGCATGGAATTTAACTTCCTCTAAAACGCTGAAAACTGAAAATATCAGTGGAGAAAGATATGAAACTGTTAGCAACATAAATGAGGTCTCATCTTTTAAAACATTAAGGTTCTTCTAGATACTTCCTTTTAAGTATGAAAAAAGTTAAAAATGCAGAATTTGGTCTCTACATCAAGAACAGGATTTTATAGTCCTTGCCACTTAAAAAACACAAAAAGATTAGAGGGGGATCCATTCTCAACAGCCTCTCTTTCATTTGGCTTTCTCATTAAGCAAGGCAGCTCTCCAGGCAGAACTCCCCTCGGCTTAAAAGACAGAATTGCTTTATTGCTAAATGATGGATCAAAACTCATCCTGTAATAGTGATTCATTCCACCAGGGCTTTTAACACAAGCTCCTCTTTCATCGAGCCAATGGGTTCACAGCTTTTGGCAGATTAAGTTCCCTTTCTGGCGTGAGTCAAAAAATTTCCTCAACTAATACGTACATGTGAAAAATGACAACAGTCTAACGACGGCTACGGAGGAAAGCAGTGCCACCCTCACGGGGCATTAATGACTGTCGTGATCAGCAGAAGGCAGGAGGCCGGTACCTTTCTGATGGTGTTGTGCTTGCTGCTGGTGCCGCCCCGGTCGGAGTTCTCGTTGTGCAGAATGTCCAAGGCCGTCTCCCGCTCTTTGAGCTTCAAGGCCTCGATCTCCGTCTTGAGCTCGTTGAGCTGCTCCTGCAGGTGCTTGCTCTTCTCCATGTACTCCACTCTGCCGGCAAGAGGACAGTGCGTCACGGCTCTGGCACACGGGGAGGCCCACCGCAGCAGAGGCTCCGGACCCACAGGCTGCCCGGCCTGGGATCTGGGGTCTGAAGCCTGGGCGGGGGGAAGAGGGGGCGCGGGTGTCACATCTCTGCTCGGCCACTCATGGGCCATGGGAGCTTGGGCCAATCACTCCACTGCCTGGCATCCGTTTCCTCAGCCAGAAAACAGGGCTAATGATCTGGGGCTGTGGTCAGGATTAAATAGAAGGAAGTGTGGGAGAGCTCTGGTAAGCTCTCACACCAGCTGTAAAGGATAACAGATAGCTTTTTTTTTAAAATTTCGTTTCATTTTAAAATATTATTTATTTATTTTTGGTGGGGGATGATAATCAGGTTTATTTATTCATTTAATTTTTGATGGTGGTACTGGGGATTGAACCCAGGACCTTATGCATGCTAGGCATGTGCCCTGCCACTGAGCTATGCCTGCCCCCGCCAAACAGATTTTAGTTCTGTACAAAAACCACAAGAAACAAGCCTCCTGGCATCCAAAACAATCTCCTTAACCCTTCTCAGAGAAGGAATTCCACGCTGGTGTCCTCTTCTGATAGCCATGGCCACATCCCTACTTGTTTTGGGACTTCATCTCCTAAAGATGACAGAAGCTCACTCAGCCAACACCATGAAGAGAAAGACAGCCACCATCACCTGCAAGCAGGCCCCCTGTGTCTGGGATGGTGAACACCTGGAAGCCATCCTCAGGGTGTCTAAGTACCCGGGCATGGCCAGGCAAACCGTGCAACTCAGGCACAAGGGACATTTTGTGGAGATTCCCATGGCTGGTTATGGACTCTGCCCACGTGTGCATGGGTCACAAATAAGAAAATACGAACTGTAAAAAAGCAGGACATGGAACAGGATGCAGATGCACCCTGATCACATCCACATAATGCTGAGCACGCCTGGAAATCGATGAAGGGCTGGAGGGGAACTCAGATCACGGGTGCATAGACAGGGACTCTGGTTCCCCCATCCTCAGTACGAGAGCCCAGAGAGACACGCTGCTCAGCCTGTGGCTGCCCGTGCTGGGCACTGGGAGAATTATCCGAGGGCACCACACCAGGTGAAAGTATGTCGGCTGCAGAGACAGGCAGGGGGGTGGCTGAATCCCGGATCTGCCCCCGTCAGCTGTGGGGTGCTAGCTGAGTTCCTTCAATGCTCCAATTTATAAATGGGAACAGTAAACCCATCTTTGATGTCAGTTGCGGGGAATGAAATGAGGTAGGAGCTAAAGAACTTTGTCAGCCAGTGCCCAGCAGCTACTGTGATGGGTCCCTGGCCAGGTGTGGCACAGCTGGCCAACTGACCTACGGCTCTGATCAGGGGACCTCGGCTAGGCGTCCTCTACAGGGGGCTCCTTTCCATCTCAGATCCACTTCCCCGGCCATCACAAAAAGGAAGAGGACAGCTCAGGGGGTGCTGGGCTCAGCTGTGTGGCTCCATGCAGCAGGGCTGGCTCAACCTGGCTGTGGTCCCGGCCTTGAGCCTGAAAGCCTTCTCTCTCGCCCTTGTTCTAGACATGGGACCCAGCGCAGAGCTTGGCCACCAGAGAACACAATCAGGAAACGTGTTCCATCCCTGGTTAGAACACTACCACCACGTGGACGGCAGTCTGGTGGTCCTGGAGACCAACAGCCAGTCCTACGCTCAGGTGAGCTCTGGAGGCACTGTGAACTCCAGTCACCAATCAAGTGTCATTTTTATCCTGAAGACCAAATGCCGGTCTGTTGCCCTTCCTTTCTGATCAGTGCATTGTGCTTTCGGCGGGTGGGAACAGGGCACACTTCTGTAGCGAAGGCAGCTGCAGCGGCCCTCCCTGCTCCCCAGGCCCAGCCGCACACTCGGGGCCCGGGGGAGGGAGGGGAGCCACGTACTTTTCTTTCTCTATCTCCATGGAGAGCCGCTTCATGTCAGTATCCTTGAAGTCAAAAGACAGGCTGTCGCCAATGAGGTTGAAGCTTGGTATGTCGGGAGGCAGTGGTGCTGGGATGGGGTTCATGGGCTGTGGAGAGAAATCTCTGATTAGGGGGCTCAGTGCCACAAGAAAAGAGGGCACTGCCGTATTAACCAGCGACCCTCTGCAGGCCACAGTGGGGCTTGGCGTTCTTCTGCCCACATCCAAGGCAGAGGGGGCAGCAGTTAGACTTGTGTGGAGGGCTTCCTCCTCCCAGACCAAGGGACATCCAAGACCCGGCCCCAGTCGACTGCTCCCACTGGCTGCCCGACAAAATCACAAACGGTATGGATGATTAGCCCTTGGACCACCCTGCTTCCTGCTTCCATTCCCATGCTTAAACCATGTCTCCACCATACGCTCCATCTCTCTTCCAAGGCCCTCCTCCAACACTTCCATTTCTCACCAAAGCCTTTCTAGCTCTCTTGGGGCCAGGCGAGAACTCTTCTCTGCTGGGCGTTGACACTGTGTTCCTGGTTCTGTCAGGGCCCTTCCCTAATCTCACCCTGTGGAAGAGCCCCTTCTGTCTGTCTTCCTCTTTCTACTGTTGGCTAGTTTCCTGAGGGCAGGATCTGCCTCTTTTCACCCTTGGACATTTTACTGAGTCCAGGACAGGGTCTGGGAAAGAGCAGCGGCAGGAACACCCACCTGAGGCAATGCCAAGGCCTCAGGCAGACTGTCCGCGTGGGTATCGGAGGTGGTGCTGACCAGGGCTCCTGGGGCACGAGAACATTCTGCTTCCTGATCTAGGGGCTGGGTACATGGGTGTGTGGAGTTTGTGAAATTTCATCAGGCTGTACAGTTATAATCTGGACACTTCTCTGTAAGCACGTTATACTTTGTACACATTTCTGAAAAGCGGAGTCCTGGGAGCTGCACCCCTGGTGAGAGCACACACTGGGACAACCTCTGCGGGGGCAGCGAAATGGAAAACCTGACCCCGCTGTTCTGTTTATGAGAACTTAGTCTGCTGATATGTCCACGTGCACGTGCAAAGGTTTGCATTCGGGGATGATCAGTGCAGATTTGTTCATAATTGCAAAAGAAAACAGACTAAATACCCACCCACAGGGGACTAATTAATTACAATCCATCCATACAATGAAACGTGATTAAAAAGCTGACATGGACCATCTCCTCCAGGACTGAGTGATTGACTGGCTGTTAGAACAGTGCATAAAGTTTGCTCCAATGTGAGTTTTAAACACATGCACATCTCGAGTGTCCCGCCCGGTTGAGCCCCCAGACAACTCCAGTCCCTGCTGCCATCTGCCGGCCACCAGCCCCCTCCAGATCCCGAGGAGGGAAACATCGGCCATGAGAGAGAACAAACAGTTTCTTTGGGCTACGTAGTGGCATGGGTTGGCTCGTCCCCAGTAATGGATGACCAGACAGGTGACAAAAGCAACTGCTCACATTTCCCCACCTCAAACCCCGGGCAGCTCGGCCTCTGTGACCCGCACACCTCTTCACTGCGTGTGTGTCCGTGCACTTGCCGGGAACACCCTATCGCCTCCTCCCTACCGGCGGGTTCCTGACCCTTTGAGAGTCAGCCCAGGCACTTCCTGAGCTACCTCTGACCCTCCTGGCAGGGCTGAGCTCTCCTCTGGGCACCCGCACGCCCTGTCTGTACACAGACCCCGCACCTGTCTTGTATTATGTGGAACAGAATAGGTATGCAAAAGTTTGCTGAACTGAGTGCACAGCAGAGAGGAAGGAACGAGGCTTCTCTGCTCATCTGGTGACCTGTTTAAATGGAGTCTGCCTCCTTGTCCCCAGATCAAGTCTGGAAGCTGGTTCTCATAGGGCAGTAGCTCCCTCTGAGGTACCTGGGGCATCCCTGCCCAGAACCACAACATGGCATCTGGTACACACAGTAGCTGAAGATTACTTTCAGCTTGGCAGTAAGAGGCTAGAGAGCAAGTTCTCTTGAGCACAATCTGGGAGTACATTTCTTAGAGTAAGAAAATAATTTCAGAGCTGGAAAAGACCCTGTTGCCTGTTCTCAGGGCCACCAGAGAGCTGACTAACCAGCCCAAGGCCAAGTGGCGGACCAGACACCCGCCCCATCCCAGACTGCAGGCTCCCTGCACCACTCGCTCTGCCTGTGTTGCTCAACAGTCGCCCTGAAGTGGGTGCTGGGGGACCCAAAGGGCCGGGAGGGGAGGGACGGCCACGGGGTGAGGAGTGGTGGGGCCGGCGACCCCAGGCTCACCGGGTACGTGGACTTGGTGGTGATTTCCAGGAGCTTCTGCTTGGCTCTTCGCTCTGCCTCGCGGGCTTCCTGCAGGTCCTGCTTCAGCTGATCTGCCTCCTTGGCCCTGCAAGAAACAGAGGCGCCATCAGCGCCCCAGAAGACGACAGGAGGAAAACAGAGGCTCCTTTTCTCCTCCCTCAAGGGAGAGGAGGGAGCTGGGCCAACCCTGCGGATGGCACCAGACTGGGCCAACAAGCCTGGTGCAGGGCAGAGGATGGGGGGCATTCACATGAAATCAGCCCCTTGGGGGAGGGGCTAGGAGCTTCCTTTGCTTCTTTCTGGGTGAGAGGGCAAAGGACTTATATGGGATCACAAAGGGCAGGAGTGAAAGAACTGGTTCTTCACGGCCCCAAGTGAAACCACCTCCTCAGGCAGGAAGATGAGCACGTGGCCAAGGGCCTCATGCCTCGTCAGGACACAGGACCCAGGGACCTGGAACACAGGGAGTGACCACACTCGGAAAGAAAGGAGCCCAGGCCGGGGCAGGAAGCATGGAACTGTATCTCCAGAAGGATACGCAAAAAGCGGGAGAAAACTGTAGCTACGGTGCTTTGGCAGTTAGTGAGCAGCCAAGTTTAGGGGTTCTGAATCCACAGACCAAGTGCCATGAGGGGTGAGCTCGTGTTTATCTGACGGCTGCAGGACCAGGACAACCTGTAGCCCCGAACCACCTTCACAGAACAGACTATACATGTCCATCCTTCAGCCCCGGGGTAGCCTACCCCGCCCCTGCCTCCTGCAGGGAAGCGTCCCCTCACATGCCTCCAAATAAAAAGGGAAAAGAGCCAGGCTTGTAAGTGTAAGAAGAGCCTGCTCACATCTCAGCAAGAGGCAGCCTGAGGACCAGCTCGATGGTTTTCCTGCAGACATGACTGTCAGAGGGACGGGGCTCATCTCAAAGGCACCGCCTGACCGGAGTCCACCGGACAAGAGACTGTGTTCCTGCCCCTTCCACCCCCAACCCCACCCTGGCCTGTCCCGGAAGGAGACTCTGCCCTGCCCAGGAGACCAACAAGCCCCAGAGGACAGCTGCCATCCAGCTCTGCCCAGTGCAGGGTCCCCCGACTCTGACCTCCTCTCCGACTCCTCAGCCATCTTCAGCGCCAGCACCTCAGCCTCCAGCACCTTCTGCTCCATCAGGCGCTTCTCCTCCTCCGTCCGGATGGCCGTGGCCTTGATGCGCTGCATCTCCTGTTCCGCCTCTGCCGCCTTCTGCGCCAGGAGCTTCGCCTCCTCCTCGGTGATTTGGGCCTTTTCAGCCAACAGGTCGGCCGTCTCCTCAGATCGCATCTGGAGAGAAGGGCGCGGTCAGCGGGAATGGGGCTGGCGTGCTGCATCACCCAGATGGGTCCCAGACTCTCAAGCCTGCAAGAACCAGAGCCTCGGACTCCTGGGGGCCCCGCCACTGAGTGTCCCCAGGCCACACCCTTCAACTTCTCAGAGGAGACCCACTTGAGCCGAGGATTATGCTTTATGAAAACCATTGTAACTCTGTCCTTCTTTCTCTGTAAATAAGTGGTTCACTTATTGCCCACTGAGGACATGTCACAATGTCTGGAGACACTTTTTGACTGTCACAAATGAGGGTGAGGTGGCGCCACTGGCATCTAGTGGGCGAAGGCCAGGGACACAGCTAACCAGCCCTCAACGCACAGGACAGCCCCCATCACCGGGCATGCAAGGCTGAGAAGCCCTGTGGAAAAGGTAGCCCACACGAGAGTGCAGTTTGGCTGCACTTGGAGGTTGAACTCAAGCTAAATCTGCTCCTGGAAACACAAGTGGAAAGAAAGACAATTTTTTTAAGCTAAAATGTCAAAGCAAATGTCGCTCATCTGTGGTCCTCAGGGGTCTAACTCCAGTGCCCGGGGAAGTTTCTGTGTAGCCTCCCAGACCCTTGGGAGTCACCAGGGCTTCGTTGGCCATCGTCGCCTCTTCCTTCATCTGCAGGAGCCTCCTCTCCAGCTCGTCCCTGGTGCGCTCAGCCTCCTCCCTCATCTGCTTCTCACGAGCGAGGCGCTGCCGCTCCATCTGGGGGAAACAGGAGCTGTCATTGGTCACAGGGCCACGACCTGTGGTGGCACCAAGCCAGGGATGCCCAGTGCCTGGAATCTCCCCTTTGAAGGCCCTTTTCTTCCCCGTACTTTAGGTGCCAGTGTCACTCTCATCGCCTACCACCCTCTGTCCTTCTAAACCAGCGGTAGAGTTGAAAGTCCTGCTCCTTGAAAAAACACCTAATGGTAAATGAACAGACAATTGATCAAACAGCAGAAAAGTGAGCCCAGTTTTCAAACGGACGGAAGTGTGGGTTCTTACACACCGAGTGCTCAAATGGCTACCCTGCCCATGCACCTTTGTGCTGGGGGACCTCAGTGGCTCTGCCTGCAGCTGAGACATAATGCAGGCTCCTCCCCTGCTAGAGGTGTGGCTCCAGGGATCAACTACGTTCTCACCCAGATGGACCCCTCCCACACCTCTAATCTCATCAATAGCTCCTCTCCTGCCTCTGACCCCCGGAGAGATGGAGTTGTTCTGTGCGCTGCATCAGTAGTGCACACAGTGTATTTCACAGGGGTAGGCACGCCGCCGAGGCAGCTTCTGAGCCAGGCCTGCAACAGGAGGATGCCTAGCGGGGCACAGGGCACAGAGCCGCCGCTGCCTCCCTTGCCTTCTGGATCACAATATTAATTGGGCCACATGCCGGGCTTAATAAGAGGAACAGGCACAGGACAAGTGCTGTTCTCTGGGATCCTCGGGCCCTGACTGAGTTCAGAAAGCAGAAGCCAGAAGTGACCACCACACAATTTTCTTCCTTAAATAATTAAAGCACATTTAATTAGTCACTTTTTCCTTCCATCTTCTCCCAAACGCAAGATTTCTACCGTTGCTGTGTATTCTAAATACTAAGCCAAAAAAAAAAAATGCATGGGGCCTCAAAGGAATAATGCAAAGACAAGCAGTCAAATACCGTAAATTCCCCTCCAATTTTCCTCCTGCAGGTCAATGAGAAGCTTGGCCAATTTGTTCTCTAATTTCTATCATATTACGATTTCCATTAGGTGGATGACGACACCCCCATTATCCTCCACTTGACAAAAGCCCAGAGTCCCCTTCCACTCCCAGCACTGCACATCCCCTGAGACCTCTGCCCCAATAATAAGGGACCTCCTGTTTGAAAAGCGGTTTCAGCTTACAAATGTGTTCAGGTACAGTGGGTCCTTTGATCTAAGATGCAGAAGAGAGATTCTTAGTTCCACTTGACAGGTGAGAAAACTGAGGTCTGGAAGGTTAACTCATTCACTAGTGTCACATGCTAAGTTTCACATCTGGCTCCAAGGTCCGTGTCTGTACTATGGGGCCAGGGAGCCCCTGACCTTTGGTTGCCGGGTGCCAGGGATGTGTGTCCGCCGTGCTGCAGGCAGTGCAGGCCGGGGTGTGTTCAAGCTGTTCTCTGCACAGCCTGGAGGCTTACATGCTCCTTGCCGTGTTCAGATGTCTCACTTCTAAGCTTTGCTCTGCTGATAAAGGGGTCAGAGAGGGCTCTTCTCGAAGTTGCCACTACGACCCTGTGCTGGCCCAGGAGCATTTCTTTGTCCAACAAAACCCATTCCACTACCCTCACAGCATCCCAAAGAGAACGTCTGTGGCCCGCCGTCTCAAGAAGCAGAGACGGACTGCTGAAAGCCCAATGGATCAAACTGGCATTTCATTCTAAATCTCAGGGCCGGGAGCCAGCCTCGTCAGAGGACCCAAATTAGAGAGCAGCACACAGACTAATTATCACCCCTGTAAACCTGCAAGTCCTACAGGCAGCCAAATGCAGCTGCTGCTACTCTGTCTAGTAGTTCGTCCCAAACCACGATTGATATTCTCAGCAGCGAGGCTCAGGTTAGTTGTGTGGATTTCGGTGAGTCGAAGAGGTCTATGAGAGGAAAACAATGGTGCAGACCGTCCAGTCTGCTGATACGCGCTCCCGGCACCTCCCGCTGCGGGGATGCGCCGCCCGGGCTGACCTGCAGTGGGGATGTGCAGCCAGAGTCTAATTAGCATTCCAGCAGCGGCTCCGAGATGCTGCTGTGCATCCCATCACCATCTAATTAGAAAAGAAGGCTGGGCACGGGAGACAGGCAGGCAGAAAGAATGAAAGCTTAGCTACACGGACAAGAGAGAGATGGATGGATGGATGGATGGATACACGTGGGCTTGGCTATTGCTGCCCAAGCCTGCATTAATCACAATTCACTTACTTCACTTAAGTGGTGAAATAACTGGGGACCTGTCTTTCAGATGTGCTGCTGGAGTTTATTCCTCATTTCCAGAGCTGATGTCCCATCATTTATTCATCAGCCAGTAAAGATCCAACAGGGATGAAATGAGAGTAGGCATGGCCATGGCCAAAGGACTCCTGTTGGCCCATAATCGCTCCTCACCTCCCGCTGAGACCACCGCATGGCGACAGCGGCGGTTTGAACACGGCCCTGCTCACCTGCTTTCGCGCCTTCTCCTCCCTGGCCTGGGCTTTCATCTGCTGAACTTCCAAAGAATCAGCCTTCCTTCTCCGCATGAAGAGGTCATGGTTCCCGATACACAGCTGGAGAATCTGTGGCCACGAAAGCAGGAGAAACATTACACCCACACGTGTACTTCACTGCTGCAGCTCAGCGACCCATGGCATCTGGGCCTCAGGGCTCTTGTGAGCAGGGAAACCTGGAGAGAAAGTATGGAGGGAAATACCAGTGCCCTCCCAGTGGCCTCCAGGCCTCGGCTCTGGATGCAAAGTCAGGGCACCTGGGTGAAGATCACAGCCAAGAGAGGAAGGGTGATGTCTAAGCACATCTTCTGATGCACCTCACGCTATAGGCCAGGGAGGAAGGGAAAGCTGGCCAGTAGGCAGGCTGGGACGACAGGTTATCCATGCAGAAAAAACCCAGCTGGATCCTCTCAGCCCCCAATGCCAAACTCAACTCCAGAAGAATTAAAGCCTTGAGTGCAAAGATGATGCCACGGATTATGCCCTGGAAACTCTTAGAAGAGAACATAAAAGAATATCTTGATGGTTGTAAGATAAGGAAAGATGTCAAGCAAGACACAAAAAAGCACAAATGATTAAGGAAAAGACGTATGTTCGTCTACATTAAATTTTTTTGTTTGTTAAGACATTATTAAAAAAAGAGGAAAAATAAGACACAGCCCAGGAGAAGAGATAAACAATACTGAAAACAAACGATCCAAGAGAAACAGCCAACAGACATGAAACAAGTATTTGCCAGAAGAGACAATAAGACTGGCCAAATAGTATGCAAAAAGATACTCAACTCCATTAGTAAACATAAAGATACAAATTAATATGACAATGAGGTACCATTTTATGTATGCAAGATTTGCAAAAAAATTTTAAAGGCTAGTAACACAATTACTGTAAGTTAATTCACCCTCTTTGGAAAACAACGGGACATAATCTTGAATTTGGATATACACCACAGCCCTGAGGGCTGTACGAGAACATCCTCCAGACTCTAAGGAGACTGTTGCCCATGCTCACCAGCGGGCAGATACAGGAAATGTTTGGAACAGCCTTGTAAACATGGCTCAGAAGCAGAAGCATTTAATTGTCCATTAATAGGAGAATGGAAGAAAAAAATACTTTTTTTTTTGCAGAATCTATAACAGAATACCATACAACAGTGAAATGAAGGGACCACATCTTTAACTATCAACAAAGATAAATCTCAAAAAATGTGTAAAAAAGGCAAGTGAGAGGATAGAGTTGACAGCACATATGTAAATTTCAGAAACATAAGACCTGCTAGTTTTGCCGTGTATGAAATAAAGTTCTGATGGAAAGCGAGGGATGGTAAGCACACAGCTGAGAGGAGGTCGCCCTTGGGAGGAGGGCGGACTGCAAGGTCAGATGTGAGGGGTCCACTTCTAACAGCTGGGTGGTGGGTAAGTAGCTATTTATTTGTCATTCTTCATACCCCATATATACATTATACTTGTCCTTTCATATGTATGAAGTACTATAATAAAAATAGCTTTTCCTCATCATAAAATTTACGTTTGACTCCTTAGGTAAGCTAAAGAGAAGTCTTTCAAGGCTTATCAGAAAAGCATGCGAGGTACCATTCTACATCTTACAAGATGTCACTCTGCTACCGTTTCAAAAAGGACTTTTCAATTTCACAGAAAACCACAGTCAGTGATAAACACCAGGATCTCAAACTTACCAGCTTATTAACACGAAGCTTCGAGGAGTTAAATTTGAAGACATCAATTTTCTTATCCAATGGCTTAATAGTAAACTGAAAGGAAGAAGCAGAAAACAGTGTCAGTCTGGCAGCCTAGGACGTCCTCGGCAACTGGGAAATTCCACCACAGCGGCAAGCACCCTGCAGACACCAGTGCCTGGGAGGGTCAGGATCCTGGCAGGTGTGCTCTCCGCGCCGTCTTAAATTCAGAACCCGAGATATAAACCCCTGATGGGCCCAGCACTGGGAGGGCGGCCACAAAGTCTAAGGCCCACCACCTGGCTGGAACCAGACCCACAACGTCAAATACTCGAGAGATGATATTGTCCATTAATGCCTTGCTGGGTGGAACAAATCACAAATTCTCAGAGTAGGAGGGGATGTAAGCTGGTCTCAGGTGAAGAATATGGCAGAGAAGCTAAAAGGTGGGCTGGAAGGGCATCCTGGACAGGACAAGTAATAGCCAGAAGGCAGAGGTGGGGAATTGAGAACTGTGCGTGTGTGCATATATGTGTGTGCGTGAGTGTGTGCTTGATATTACAAGCTCTTTGATGACTAAGATGAAACCATGGGCTTAGCCTGGGAGGCAGGGAGGCGTAGGGGTGGTGACGTGGGCTGGGGATGGACCAGAAGGGCTTAGGTTTGATGTGACAACATCCAGGAGTCACCCCAGATTCTTAAACATGGGGTGGTTCGATGAAAGTCGCTAACAGAAGGAATACAGTAAAGTGTGACGAAGAATGGACTGTAGTAGAAAAGGAAAACACAGTCTTTGAAATCAAAGGGGAGAGAAAGGTGAATGACAAGGGCAGGGTGGTAGCCTAAGAGGAGACCCCAGGGCCTGAGTGCCAGGCAGGGATGCTGATAAAGAACAAAGGACACCTGCGCTCTTGCTCATTCCTGAGGGACCATGCAGATCCAGATTTCACCGATGTGCTAAAACCATGAATATCCACTTTCAACAAAGACCAGCTAAGCACATAAATACACTTGGGAAGATATACCCTTGGGTATTTTTTCACATGCTACCTTGTCCAACAAGGGGTTAGCACACGAGGACAGAAATCAATCCTTTACTTAGCTTTCAGGGGAGCTCACTCAGAAGCAGTACTGCTCGTGGGTAGGCTGCTGTTTATGAATTTCATGAGCTTACTTTTGGCCTTGCTATCAAACCCCAGAGCTGCCAGTGGGAAACCTCAAGTAGTGGGGAAGCCACGGGCTCTGTGCCACGCCAGGCACACACAATCAATGGATCACTGAAAATAAACAGGCATTCTGCTCTGAGAGCACGGCTGTCGAGCATCAGGACCACGACTACTTCTCATCGCTCAGTCGAGTCAGCCGGGGCCCTCTGAAGGGGAGACTTCTATCCTTGGGTTCTGTGAGGGATGAGTGTTTTGGGAACCTTCAGCGCACAAATTGGTGGATGTGCAGTCAATGGACTTTGTGAAATCAGAGATGAAAAACCACATACTGTGGCACACCTCCTGCTTTAAGTCATATGGAGCTTTCAATTTAAGTGCTTTAAAAATGCAGTACCTAAACGCTCATCTCCTGGGCTACTTACAAAAATCTAAAAGCCAGAATGTTTTGAATCAAGCTCAATCTGTCTCACCAAGCGTGGCTGAGTAGATCTCAACCACGTATTGGCAACCGGGGGCCTGATGTTCCCCTCCTCGAGTTGCTATGAGGAAAGAGAAAACAGGAAGTGTGCTCGGGGTGGGGGCCCTGCAGGCGACGTGAGCTGTCCCTGTTACTCACTCCACACCTGGGCCTGGCTGTGTGGCCACCAGCACATCGCCCGGCGCTGCCCAGGCCTGCATTCCTCCACCCGGTGCCCTGCGTCTCAGGGCTTGTCCTCTGTGCCTCCTGGAAACGCAGGGGATGCGGCTTCCTTCAGGGGGCCTGGAGCCCGGCCCCTACTATTCCCCTCACCCAACACAGGTCACCTGGCCCCTCTGCATCCCTGTTTCCCAACATGACTCAGTGACACAGAGCTGACCAGTGTTCCTGCCGGGGCTGAATCAGAGTCGGGGCGGAAAAGCACCGCATCATCACCGTCCTCATCACTGGCCCCTCTCACCACAGTTACGTTATCACAGCAGTCAAGTCGTGACTTTTCTATAACTTCCTTGAGGGCTAAGGCTGGGATCTCTACATCTTTGTTTCCCCCACAAAACCTAACACAAAGCAGATGCTCAATCATTCCTTTAAAATGAACAATGAATGAATGAATAAATGAACAGATTACAGCGTTTGGGAAAAGTCACCATTCTGTCTAGAAATGTTTGAATCCTAACTTAAGAGTGTTTGTCTAAGTTTTTCCAACTTAATTATTCTTTAATTCTTGAAAACAAGTGAGCCTGATATCCTCATTTATATCACTGCTGGTATGTATATATTATATATTAAATGTATATATTATGTACACAGACACACAATCATATACACACGTATGGAGGTATATCTGTATATACCCCATCACTTGAATCAAGCACTGGTCACAGAGGGGATTTAATATAAACCCCACTTAAAATACAAAGAGAATTCTCACCAGAAGTAGAAAGCTGAGTAGTAAGAAAGGGTTACTTGCTGGTTTGTTTACTGTTCTTTGGGGTTTAGTCCTGACAAGATGAGCTTCCCAGCCTCTTGTTAGTCAGCAGGGGGCTTCAGTGGTGCTATTTGAAAACAGGATACCAGCACATTCTGAAGATAATATAAAAATCAACCACCAAAGAACCCGAAGCCTGGGAACGAAAGGACTTTACTGATAAGGACCAGCAGTCTGGCTTGGGATGCTTCGGAAGGAGGAGATGGGAAGGGGCTGCTGGGCCAGCAGGGCAGCTGCAGAGCAGACGAGTCCTACCTCCTTGTCGCTGTAGGAGATGTTTCGGATTTCGTTCCACGGGAAGGAGATCTTGGGGGTCAGCCTGTTCTCAGGGTCGTAGATGTGAAGCCCCAAAGCATCCACTCCAAGCAGCAGTTCCGTGCCCTTTTTATTCTGTGGATTTGACAGAGAACAGCCACCGTTAGCTCCAGCTGAGGCTTGAGATTTTATTCAATTCCCCAAAGAACCTGTTCACACTGTTACATGTGACAAGTTTCGACAGGTACCATCAGAAGTCACAGCTGTCTTAGAACCCAGGGGGCCTCCAGCTGCCTGAATCAGGGCAGGCAGAGGCAAAATGATGCCATTCTTGTGATTCATGTGTCCTAGGGAGGGACCACCGGGGGCTTCAGTCACTGGCTCAATGGCTAACATAGGGGTAATAGCAGTGTTGTTACTGCTAATTATGTCACCAGCTTATCACAGATGTAGAATAAAAACCTGTAGGATTAAATATCTCCTGTGTTAAAAAGAAAGGTTGCCGCACTACCAGAAAGAAAATTCTAAGTGCTGGGATCAGGTGGCCTTATTTTATGTTAATGCAGATTCAGTGTGATAAAGCAAGTAAAGTGTTAACTGTAGAATCCAGACAGTGGGTGTATATATAGGTACTTGCTGTAAAATTCTTTCAACTTTCCTGTATGTTTGAAACTTTTGTAATAAAATGTTAGAAAAAAATATAAAAATGAATTCCGTATAACCTATAATGGAAAAGAATCTGAAAAAGAATAGATATGTGTGTATGCCTATATATATATGAAAAACTGAATCACTTTGCTGTACACCTGAAATTAATACACTGCAAATCAACTATACTTCAATTTAAAAAAAGAATTATATGTAAATTGCACCTCAATAAAGCTGTTTAAAATTTTAATGGATTGACTGTACGCATGCTCTGCCTCTGACAGAAGTCCAGTCAGCGCCCAGAGGAACTAGAGGGCAAGCACCCTGGGCCCCCATGTCACTGACCAGTGTGGACCCGGAGGCTGCCTCCCTGGGCTGTGGGCCCGTTCATCCGTGCTGCGGTCTGGCCCTCGCGTGGTGGTGGAGGGACACTCCCTGCGCAAGGACCTAAAGCCCTGACCCCTTGCTGACAACAAGGAAATGGAACTGAGACTCAAGAGCAGGAAAGCAGGCCTGCAGACTGAGAAGGGGCTGGACCATGATGAGAAGTAGCAGGTCTCAGACGATGGCGAAGCAGGCTCCCACAGGTAACTCTTCTTACTCCACTTAACGCCCTGAAGCCAGGCTCAATCACCAAACCATGAGGCAGGGTCCCCGGCTCATCTGCAAAGCTCTTAAAACCACTGTCTTAACACTAGTGAGGCTCTGTGCTTTAAACATCTACAGGACGCTTTGGAAAACAAGACACTTCATTACGTTTCTAGTTCCAATTTTTTTTTTTAAAACAGGATTCCACCCTCTGCCTCCTATCATTCTGACTGCAACGCTCCTCACAAATAAACACAGAGAGGTAGGGACTCAAGCAGCCCCTTTTAAATTGTTTTAAGCACAGACCTTCCTTAGCTGATGGTGAAATTTCAAGAACTTTAACAAAAGACACTAAAATATCCATTAGCCTTATCTACTATGTAACACACACACACACAAAACAGTATAATTTAGTCTAACTGCTAGAAGTATTCCCTAGTAAGAAGCTGTTTTTTAAGGATCATAAAACACTAGTTTTCTAGAATGTAGGTGGTGGGGTTTATATTGACAAAACCACAGGAATGTGTCACATTAGTCTGACCAAACAATTAGCAAATACAAATTAACGAAACTTTGGAAAACCTTCTGCATTATTGTGGGAAATCTTTTAGGCATTTGCATATTATACAAAATGACATAATTTATTAGTAGGATTTATTTTATGCAAAGTAATCCATTAAAAGTTACACATATACATATTTAGAAAAATAAAGTAGAAAGCTACCCTTAGGATATTTAAAATGTGCTTCAATTTACCTAAACTTAGTACAATATGCATACACATCCCCCAGAAGAAAGCAAACTTTAACTATGAGAATAAAAATGGACCACTGTGGATGGTTGTTTTAATGTCTACTTAACTACAGTTTGGAATCAGCAATGAAATACTTCAGCAAATCACATGAATTCCTTTGGAAGGAGCTGTGTCCAGCAGCAGAACCTGGGGAGAAAGATGCTCGGAAGGCTAGACAGGGGCTGAGAACAAACGCTTCTCTGGTGCAGAAGCAGTGGGGTCCCGGAGGACAGCGGACTATTAATGGTCTGAGTAAAAAACCAATTAGCATGCCAGTGAGAGTCCCACCCAAACAAATCAGTCATCTATAAAAGCAGCTTCACTCTCCTTGTGCCCTGGGGTAAAGAAAGTGTTTACAGGTGTTCCCTGTGGGCCGAGATCTCACAGAGCCAGAAATAATCAAATGTTACACCAGAGCATTCAGGCAGGCTTCTGCTGAGCGCGGGACCAGGTCCCCCCAGGCGCAACTGACACTTAATTACCTAGAATCTAATTAAAGTCCAGAAATAGAAAATGAGGCTCTAAGACCCTCTCCCTTCCTCTTCCCTTGTTCACCACTGAACTGTTAAAGCGTCCACCACCCTGGGGTGGGGAAGGACCCATTTTAGCCATCTGCCCCCGATTCAGTCTCCATCTACACACAGGGAACTTGGAGGGGCTTCCACACACCCGGATTGTAAAGTAGTTCACACCGTACATCTCCAGGTCCTGAGCAATCTTCAAATACTCCATCTCAGCTTCGTCCCTGTGAGGAGAATGAAAGACACTGTCACTGGGCTAAGGGACAAAATTGGAGGGCGGGCGCATGCCAAGCTGAGCTTTGGAACTGCTGGAAACCTCGAGCCAGGCAGGTACCCGCCAAGCTCTTCCCAGCCCTGAGTCTATTAACTACGCCGAGGTCAAGCAGAATTTCCCATCCTCGTGAAAACAAGAGAACAAATTCATTACAGCATCTCTTGGCTTCAATTTCACGCTTTGCCCTTGGTAAATAGTGACACCCGTCTCCAGTAATTCAAGACAAGCACATGGTATATCTGCTCCCTCAAATGGATATGGATGTTCAAATTTTATTTAAGCTGTTGCTTTGTCTCATCGCGGACTTTCTTCACCCAGAGGGTTTTGGTAATGACACATCTCTCTCCTCAAGCTACCTTCCAGATTTTATTTCTTTGGCTGTTGTTAGAGGTTAGGGCCAAGAGCTATCAGGGCTGTAAAACCCAAGCCAGGTCACCTACTTCCAATTTATGAGTCAGACTCAAAGGAAGCCCTTGAAGTAACAATGACTTGCAAAAAACTCCCAAACAGGTACAGTATTGAAATATTTTAACCCAAGTCTCCTCACAACCTTGCCGCCTTCTCTCTCTCCGATCTCAAAATGGTCTCAAATGAATCGAAATCACACAGGTTGCTGATGTAAATTTCCACAATTGCTTTGGAAAACTGTGTGACGTTATTTGTAAAAGCCAAAACCGGTAGACAACCTAAATGTCCATTAATTGTGGAATGCATAAATAATGTGTAATTTATTAATACAGTGGAATTCTACATGGCAATGAAAATGAAAGAACGACCGCTAGAAACCATTGACCCAACTCTCATGATATGATGCTGAATGAAAGAAATGAGGTACACACAAAAAAGAGAAACTATCTGACTGCATGTACAGAATGTTTAAAACAGGCAACACTAATCCACGGAGTTGAAGTCAGGAGAGTGGTCCCCTTTGGGGAGGAAGGAGGAGGAGTGATGCGGGGGTGCTTTCTTGCCACCTGGTGTCACCTGCTGGCCTTACTTTGTGATAATCCACCAACTGGGATATTTAAGATTTGTCCACTTTTTGGTATACTTTTTTAAAAAAAAGTTTTAAAAAAAAGCATAAGATAGGAAGTTGATTTGAAGAAGAGAAAAAATGTAAAGGCTAATTTAGCAGCATCTGTCAAGCCCCAAGATGCTCACATCCTTTGACTCAGCAACTTTTGTAGAGAATCCATCCTCAAAACTACTCATGCAATTATACAGGGACACAAGGCTGCACACTGCAGAACACTGTGTGAAACTGAAAGATCTACAGCTACTGCAAATACCGTCAGCAGCGGGACGGCCGCAAAAGCTGTGGGCTACCCAGACAACGGAAGTCCTGAAATGAACCTAAATTAGCACTGGCCACAGAAGGTCTGGACATCCCAATAGGCAGTAAGTCCCCACGCCCGACGCACTGGAAAAAGGACACACAAGGCCCTGAAGACCAGCACTGCTGCCAGCTCTGCCTTTTTCTTTTACACACTTTGGTACCACGTTTTGTTCAACAAGCATGTCCTAGTTTGGGAGTTCCTTAAAAAAGAAAAAAAGAAAGCCCGGCCCCTGAGGACATGCAGACCAGCAGTGAAGCAGCCTCACCTGGCTCGGCCCCGGTGCTCCGCGTACCAGGCTGTGATTCTCTCCTCCCACATTTCTGGAGTCATCTGATACAGATTTATTACCTACCAAAAAAGAGAGCAAAATAAAAAACCCACGCACAAAGAGAGTTTTGGTATTGTTTGCCATTTTTATAATTATGCATCATTTTTACCAAACAGCAAAACTGTTTGTAAAAAGCCACACACGGGGAGCCGGTCACACGCAGAGGTGGGCGTGTAAATGGGCACCGTTTGGTTTGAGCCACAACTCGGAAAGTCACACCATTACTCAGGCTGAGGTGTGCCCCTCGCCTGCCAGCGGCCCCTCTTGCCTTAGCCTCCAGAGGGGGGACCTTGGTCAGGGGCAGAGCTCACTAATCCTGGGCTGCGGGAGGGCCACGCTTCAGGTGCTGCTGCCTCTGCCTCTACAGAAGCCATCAAAGGAGCAGGTGGAGTCAGGGGAGCTGAGGGGCAGGCCTTCATCACACATGACAGGTGAGTGCAGCTATAAAATCAGAAACTGCGAAAAGGAGGGAGGGCCCGCTTCCATGGCTAATGAAGACGAACAACACCAAGGATGAAAAGCCACAACACCCACCCCCAGCTGCATCCCGTCTGCCGGCCCCGTGACTGCCTCCTCTGTGCGGCTGCAAACAGCTCGCCTTCCCGGGCTGAATTCCAGCTGCTCCCTGCCCCTCCCGGGAATCACTGACATTCACCCACCTTTAAAGAAACGACCATCCGCAGGCCAGGGCTGTCCTGGCAACCCCAAACGAACCCCACGAACCTTTGCTTTTTAATATTCTTGACAGAGATCTTTACTCAAGATTGATGACAAAACATCTACAGAAATTTTCTTGCCATGTCCGCCCAACATTCCTCTCAGTCCTTCGGCTAGTCTTACCAAACAGGGACTTTGATTTCTTACCCTTTTTGGAAGCAATTCCTCTTGGGCCAAAAATCCCCGCTTGTGCACAGAGGGGTCGTAGTCGCCGTACTGGAAGGAGAGGAAAGGGAGAGCAAGGGGTTGAGTCTCAGGCCCACCTGCCATTTCTGAACCTGGATGGGGTCGACTCAGCCTCTGTCCCTCCCAGCTCCCAGGAGCAACTCAACTCCCATAACAATGACAAGTCAGGGTTTCAACCTTGCTAGTTTGTTATCCTTGAATGAAAACACAAAGCTGATTATATCTACGAACAGAGGCCCAGAATCCCCTAAGGGATGGATGGGTGATGTGCTAATACATGTGCAGAGAAATGTGGCTGAGTTTTCCGACTCGGGAAGGAAGCAGTCACTACCGTGATGTTAGCTTTTGAAAAGAGACAACAAAACACAACTGGGAGTTGTGACTAGCAGCACGTGATACGATTTCTCCCTGCACTTGCTTCTAAGAGGCCACTAAAGGGAGCCAACTGCTAGGTGGGAGCTGGGGATAATGCTGGCAATATTTTTAATACCTTTCATTCAAAGCTCTGAAAAACGCTTCGGAAAAAATCTTATGTCAACACTGTTGTTCCTATTGTACCGACAAAGAGACGAGTCAAAGGCTAACTGATCTTCCTGAGGCTCCAGAGCAGATCACTAGGAGGGCCAGAGTCGGGCCTTGCATTTTAATGCACTCATTGGCAACAATAACTTGGAAATTTATTTTCTGACCTCAGAAAAAAAGATATCCCTTTGTTTCCTAGATAACTTAAGTCTGACCAGGAAATAAAAAAAAAAAGAAGGAATTTTTAAAAATAAGTTAACCATAAGAGGTATAGAATATAAAATCAAAGCCTGTCTCTTGTCAATCAGCATTCAGTGGCTTTTCTTTTGGCCCAAAACAAAGCTCAATATTTTAGGACAGAAAATTACTGTAAACATTTATGCTTTTCACCACCAACGTTGGAAAAACAAAAGAAAGGTCAGGCACAAGGCTGTCGGCTCTGCATCCCACCAGATCGGGTCAGGACAGTGTGGCCCACCTTCTCATTCCCAGAGAACCTCAAGTTAGATTTTTGATGTTTTCTTCCAACAGACACTCATGGGATTGGATAGAGATCTTCGGCATCAACTTTAAATCATGCCTTATTCCCATACCACACTGCTATAAAAGCCCCAAGAAATAGTATTTCTCACGGATCTTATAATTATCTTGTGAATAGCAGAATTGTATTACATTGTTTTTTCATTTTAAAAAATTAGTATGTCAAACTCAAATACTTAAATTTTTTTCTAAGTTTTGGTAATCCTGTCAATGCATTTCTTCATTGAAAAAACTTGAAGGAAACTGGTTTCTCTGGATCTTTTAAAAGCCTGGGAGTATATTAAGTCAGGAACTGTATGAGCTTGAAAAGCACACTCTGGGGAGACCACAGAGTGGTCTGGGGTGGAGGGGGACAGGAGACAGGCTGCTTACGGTTCAATCTCAGCCCTTTCATTTCTTAGCTGTGACCCTGGAAATTTCTGTCTCAGTTTTCTCATCTGTAAAATGGGGGTAGTAACAGTATTTCTCTTACAGGACTGTTGTGGGGATTAAATGAAATACCCATTAAAATTTTTAAAAATATGATTAACACACAGCACTCAATACAGCCTGATGGCAAAAGATAAATAAAAATTCAGGCCACATCACCTCTCCAGGTCTGTTCTCTAATTTGTCAAATGAGAGCACTGGCCTTAGAGGATTGTAAAGGGATGCTCTGGAGTGAGGCAACCTCTCTGTTAACCTCAGCTTCCTCATCTGGAACGCACAGGTCAGAACGGTGCCTGCCTCCCAGGGGTGACGAGGATGAAAACAGTCCAGTAAGCATTCTGCGTGGTGCCCGGCTCATCATGAGTCAGGTTATTATTGTCGTCCTCTGCGTTATTTATAGTGACACTGGTTACTCTTTGCCTCTCGGATTTGTGAAGGCGGAGGATGGTAAAGAAAGCCCTGTTGGTTACATTTGCAAACCCCTCCACAAACTCTAATGTACAAGTAAGCAGATATGCAAAGGTACAGCTGTAAATTCAGCTTCCAAATGCTCGCAAGATTAATGATCCAAATTATCATACTGTGCTCCCAGCTACTCCACTGATCAAATGTTACATCTGAGCAGGGTAGAGGCAGCAAGGGCCCTGCTGAAGGAACTTCTCCACTGAACTGACTCCACTTATAACATAAAAGCCACCTTGAGGTCTGTGTCTGCTCTTAAATGTCTCTCTAAAAAATAGAAGAAAATCCTCGATTGTGGCAGCTGGTGAATATAGAAGGCGGTCACACCCCTCCATGGCTGGAGATGGCCGTTCCTCCCCGTTTCATGTTCAGAAGCAGTCGGATAACATACCAGGAGCAAATTGGCCAGAGAGCTAATGAAGTCTGGGTCTCAAGTCTCTGCCCCCTGCAGGGGCCTGTACCTAATCTTACATTCATAATTTGGTATTCTTGCATTAAAAAGAATCCCCTACGTTATATAAACTTCAGGCCCCACAAAATCTGGATCCACTCTGGATATAAACCAATTAAATCTAAATTCGAGAAGGGAGTTCACATTTAAAGGACTCTTGGAGTCAATTCTGAGGTTAAACAGAGGCTTCTTCCAGATATTAAACACTTTCCTCTGCTTATATGTATGAAAAATTAGACCAAATGCTCTGAACAGGGATTTCACAAGACATAAAGACCTGATCAATATATATACAGAATAAAGAGTTAGATCCCTACCACACACATTGCCAAATTCCAGACAGATTAAAGACTTAAACCTATAAATGAAAATCCATAAAAATACCAGAACAACATATAGAAGAACATGTGTAAAATAAAGGTGAAGTCATTCCAAAAGTCACTCAGACATAAAAAAGGATTGACAAGTCTGACATATAAAAAAAAGATAAACGATCCAAAATAAATTAATATCCAAAATACACGGTGCTCCTACAAATCAATTAGAAAAAAATAATACAGTGGAAAAGCGGGCAAGTCATGAACACTTGATTCACAGAGGAAAGAAATACAAATGGCCAATAAATCTACGGAAAAGATGCTCAGCCCCAGGGGTAATCAAGGAAATGAAAACTCTTTTAAAAATCTATTTTTCTGTCAGATTAGGAAAAATTTAAAAGGCTGATAACATCCACTGTTGAGGAGGATTTGGAAAAAAGAGATATTCTCACCACTGTTGGTAGAAGTTCAATTGGGACACTTTTGGAGAGCAGTTTGGCCATATCCATGTAGATTTTTTTTTTGAGATAAAATTTACACACCAAATTCACAATTTTAAGCATCCAATTCAGCAGGTTTTAGGACATTCAGAATGCTGTACAGCCATCACCACTATCTAATTCCAGGATATGTCCATCACCCCCAAAAGAAACCCCTCATCCCATAGCAGCAACTCCTAACTTCCTCCTCCTCCTGTCCCCTGGCAACTGCTCCATCCACCTTCCGTCTCTATGAAGTTGCCCAGTCTGGATATTTCATACGAATGGAAGCATGCAATATGCAGCCTCCTGCGTCCGCTTCTTTCACTTGGCATAATTTAAATGTTCCTATCCTTCCACCCATTTATGCCATTTTTGGTATCTGGCACAGAGAAATGTTGTTCCCACGTGCCCAAACAGGCACACTCAAGGATGAGCCCTCCATGCATCTAAATAGAAAAATAAAAGAAAGAAAAACAAACCTAAATATCTATCAACAAAGAGATACTTAAATAATCCATGGTCCCTCCTTTCTATGAAATATGTTTAATATTTTAAAAAACTGAGCAGTTTAAGAACTCTGTTCTGACAGTTTTTTGTGAAAAGGGCATGCTGTGCAGGAGTTCCTGGGGAGTGGCCGCCTAGGAGTGGGGTTTCCTGGGCTCTGGGGAGGGGGTCTCCTCACCAACTGGCCCCTTCCACACCCATTGCTCTGTGGAGCTTATGCCAATTCACAGTTTCTCCCTGCAAAGGAATGGGCTTCAATTCGATTTATTAATCCTTGTCAATCTTGTGGGCTTGAAATGTTTATTGTTGCTTTAAGTCTTCTTTTTCTTGATTTTCTTGATTGTGAGATGGGTCTTCTGTTTTCAAACTGGTCTTACTCCAATCTGTCCTTCACGCAGCCACCAAAGGGATCTGTCTCAAATATAAACCCTCTGTTGGCTCTGTATCACTCACAGGATAAAGTTAAGACCCTTCATGATCTAGCCCACTGCAGACCTCTCCAGCCTCAACCCTCACCACTCGACCTACACTTACATATACCCAACTTCCTATTTGCCTTTTGCACTCAGTCCCTAATTAGCATCAAAGAGCCTCCTCTCCCACCAGCCTTTTCTCTCTCTGAACACTAGAAATCTGTCGTCCAGCTCTGCGGGGCTGGGGAATTTCATGCCATTCTCTCCCTAAGTAATTTTTAATAAGAACACATTTCAAACACCAAATTGTCAACGTGAAATCCAACAGGTGGCTTAAAACATTGCAAGATGGTTTAGTGTATCATGTAACTGAGCCAAAAACAACAACAAAACCAGCCCATATTTTTGACTCAAATATGACTTAAACTCCAACCAAGAAAGACGGTTCTTGTTAACTGAACCATGTGATTAATATTTGTATTTATGCTTTGAAGGTAATTGTTTCTTGATGCTTTGGACTGAACTGTGTCTGTATCATTGGAATAGCTGAAATACTGTAATGAATACATTTGTGCATGATTACATCCCATGTGTTAATGAGCTCAATTTGCTTTTCCCAGCACACTTTTACTGTTCCTTTCTGTTTCAGAAAGGTTGTAGAAGAAAACAAATGGAATACAATGGAAGGAAACAGTGTGATGTACTGAAAAGTTTGAACTGATGTGAAAGGCAGGGCGTGCTACCCAGAGCCCTCCCTCACAGGCTGGATGCTGAAGGTAAGAGCAAAGTTTCGGCAATCCTAATACCCATCAAGAAGTAGGCTACAAATTCCATTTAAAAAAAGAACTAACATCGGGGGACCTAATTACCTCCCCCAAAATAAATAAATTAAATAAATTGTACAAAAATAAATGTTCTAAAGAAAAAAAAAGAATTAACATAAAGTATTGTGACCTTAGACAAATTATTAATCCTCTCTGAGCCTTAAATTCCTTGGCTCATGGAAGACTACACTGAGTCTCACAAGAAGTATTCATGTTATCACACTTTGTGAAACTGTAAAACACTACAGGTGCGTAAGACCTGATTAACATTGTAATCAGAGACACCCTATTAACATTAACTAGTAGTCCTAGAAGCCTGAAGCGTGTTATAATAATCCTTAGTTTCTCAACTGCAGATTTGAAGCCATGGATTACCTTTATTTGTACAATCCTGACAATTTACACTGGGAAAAACAGTTAGAACACCCTCTTCCATATGAACCACATATGCTGTCTGTGAATCACTTTCATCTCTAAATTAGTAGGGTCCAAATTAGTCGGGTTTTCCTACAGTGAAATCTGCTTAAGCAAACATCTGCTGGTTCCCTGAAAAGTTATTTTTTCCCACAGGTGGCCTTTGAATTTGTGGCCCCAAATTTATGCAAAGATGTAGCCTCTGAGACGAAAGCCCTTCAGAGAGAGGCAGTATCCGTGAGAGCCCGGGCCTCCTCTCAGCTGGGGAGAAAGCGTGCCAGAGAGGAACTCAGTTCTGGGCCAGGAAGTGCTCAGATTTAATGAAAGTGACAACGACTACTTCATCACTGTCAGGGCGATACTGATTGAAAGGACACATTTTTTCCTGTTATTAATAATTCTTAATCAAAGCATAAAAGGAAGCATATGTTTTAGTTGAATCAAGGCCCATTTTCTGTTTTCTCAATGACTCATTTGTCAGGGCAGTGGAAGAGGGGAGGCACAAAATGCCAAAGCCGTGAATTCTGCCCTTAGCTTTACCCAAGGTTGCCCGAATGACCTTGGGCAAATCGCTGAGGGCAGATGCTGGCTTTGGCGTCTGTATTGGTGACAGAGTCCACAAGCTCCCCTCAGGCCCATGAGTACTCAGCAAATATTAGACAAGTCTTCAAATAGCCCTGGTGCTTCTGTTAATCTGACAGAGCAGGTACAGACCCCTTTTCCTCCAAATAATAGGCCAGTTACTTCCTGGCTTTGACCTGAAATTATATTAAGCTACTCCAAAAAGGGGGCTAAGAAGTTAAGAGGGGCTTATTCATCTCTGTAACATTACTGGAAAACGGCTTTAAGGACTCCACTAACTAAAAAGGAAAATAATAATGGAAAAGACTATGAAAAATCATAAAAGTAATCAAGGTGTCCCAATTCTGAGGGTATCTTCTTATGCTGTAGTGACAGGCAGTCAACAGAGGGGCCAAGAGAAAGTGGAATGTATTACAGTCACAGAAAACAAACTTATGGTTGCCGGAGGGTAAAGAGGGAAGGGCGGGATACATTGGGAGTTTGGAATTGGCAGATACAAACTACTATGTACAGAACAGATTAAAAAACAAGGTCCCACTATGTAGCACAGGGAACTACATTCAATGGTTTGTAGTAATCTTATATATACTGTTATGAAAAAGTATATATAATGTATGTATAACTGAATCACTATGCTGTACACCAGAAACTAATACAACATTATAAATCAACTATACTTCAATTAAAAAAGAGATGTTAAAAAAAAAAAGTGGCATGTGATTGCAAAGTGCCCTGGGCAGACCCTGTAGTTGGTCTTATAAAAACAGAGAGGACAAGAACACAGAACCTCCTTCTCCCACCAGCCCCAGTCTGCGGTGGTCTCCCTGTTAAAGACTCGCAGGCCTCTGGACAGCTCAGCTGGGCTCGGTGGGCCCGAGGACCTGCAGTGCCCGACCGTAAGCACAGCCAGCACGGCCATCAGGGGGTACAATGCAGGACCTTCTCCAGGGTGCAGTGTGGTCCCAACACACAGGCCGCTAGTCCTCAGAAGATGAGTTTGCAATGAAGACCTGGGACTTTCTGACCTAAAGGCCAGGTTTGGCCCAAACTGGAAACAATAAACTCATTTCTCCTGGTTAATAAAAAGAGGTTGGTCCAGTGAATGTACTTAACCACATGTGCATAATGGGATTACACAGGAAATCCATCAGACAGTGCTTTTCTGTACACACACTCTATCTCACAAGATTATACAGAAGTAGGGCAGTGAGAATGGCCCCCCAAGTCCACAAGTCCCATAGCATCTGGAACCTAGAAAATCCAAAGAAATCGATGACTGGAGTGATCCTGTGCTGTGCATCTGTGCCCAGGAAGAATGCATTTCCCCCCCAGCGCCTACCTTGGCCTGGACAGCGTATGAAGCCAGGAGCACGGAAGCCTCAGGAGGGCAGTAGATCTTTTCATCTAAAATCTGCTTCTTTACCTGAAAGGGGCAACAAGGGAGACATGGCACTGTGTGCGTGGAAGGGAGCCGTGTGGGTGGTCACAGCAGACGGCTGTGGGGTGTTCCCCGAGGCCCGCCAACCCAGCCCCGTAATGATTTCCTGACAAAGGGGACAGTTTATTTAATTGCTGCTGACAGGTTGGGAGTTCAGTCCCTGAGAAATTACTGGTAAGATGGCTATGCACTTAAAAAAAAAAAAACCAACCCTTATCTCTTCAGTTCGTGATCAAATGCTGAAGGGGAAAAACAATCTTTGTGGTTACGACACAGCCTGACACCTGGGCTGTGACAGCAGCGAGCTGTGAACTCAGGAGCCGTCAGGAGCAGCTCTGGCGGTGACTGCAGCCTCGGCCCCTGCTGAGCACACGCAGCACTGGAGGAGATGGAGTCTGCTTTTAAGTCTTAACACAAGACACAAGTCAGTGAGGCCACTGAGTTATGACTGCAGGAAAAAAACCATCACTTTCGATATGCCTGCTCTAAGGAAAAAAGGAAGCAATAAAGTTTGATCGATTAAACCTTTAAGTCCACGTGAGGTCTGGGAAATATAATTCTTAAGCTGTAATGTTGAATTAACATATCTCATTGCATTTAATTTCTGAGAATGGTGCAGTGGGTGACATTCCAGACACAGAGGCAAGAGAGCCTCCTGAAGTGGGGGCACGCTGACATAAACGCACCGGGAAAGCTAGCTCCCTCTTCACAGACCTCAACAGTCACCAGATTCATAAAGGTAGTCAATTTTGCCTCGCTCAGCCATGACAGCGCTCCAACATTTCAGTAGGAGGGAAAAATTAAGCCAAAGTTAAATGGGGAACGGGCCCTTCTTCCAAGCACTTACAAGAAAGCCAGCTCTGTAACTCCAGGACATTCTGGGGCCTAGGTGGTCATTATGTGGTTTCATTCAAAGCAGTGCAATCCTTTCTAACCCTTTGGGTTTTTTTTAAGCCACACTCCAGAAAAACTGAAAGAGCTTGCTTTTGACATGAAAATTTTGGAGAGGGGAGATATATCATATAAATATAATTTCTCTTACAAAAATAGTTTGCAAAAATATATACACACACTTTTTAAAAAAATATACATACTTTTTGAGAAATTATGGGGGGTTATTACATTTAACTTAATATTTACTGAATGCAATAATCTCAGGTTCCAACTAATTATAGGAGGACTAGGTGACAGCCTATATACCTACTTTTGGGAAATCATGTAATTAACGCCCCAGCTGTGGTCTCTTTCCGTTACTGATGGCAGACATACCAGCCGTCCCCGCCCCGAACACCATAAAGTAACCATGAAACCAGGGAAGCACTCTGACCAAGCAGTAGGAACACCAGCAAAACTCATCATCACACCAATGCCCCTGGCTGAACCCCCGGACGGTCCACTGGCTGTTTTTGAACCTTTAATTACGGAGCTCCTAATTTCTTCAATTCGGTGGGATGCCCCTGTACACTCAATGAGCCTTGCCTTAAAGGGGTTTACAAACTAACGAGGAAGTAAGTGGAAAATAAGACAATTACAGACAAAGTAGCACGAAGTGTGTCATTTGAAGTACCATGTGTGGTATTTACCAAGTGTCAGTGGAGTTCTGAAGTCCTGCCTTGATTAATGAGAGCAGATTCTGAACTTTTGGAAGAGCTACTCTTTGTAAGACTCTCTTCTTAGACTTCCTGTGCAACTACTGAGTGCTTTCAAGTTAGCGGGGAGAAAACAGGATTCGTCTTCAAAGAGGTTTCTAGTTAGAGAGCTACTTGTATCCATCCTGGTGCCATCACACTTCTGCAATTTCATCTGACACCAGTTCTCCTCACTCAAGTACAGTCCTGTTCTGAAGACTGCTTTCCAGGACAGAACCAAAGGGGCTGGCTTTCCAGAGGGAGAACATTTTCACAAGGTGGAGGCCTTGGTGGTGACACCGAGGGCTGCCCCTGCCGCCATGCCTGGGAGAGCGCTCTCAGGATAGGGGGTGGGGGGAGCAGCGTGGAAAGGTGTACCTGCAAGAAGAATAAATGCTGTGTGATCTCCTGAACCAGCTCCTCCTCGGCATTCTCGGGATAAAATTTGGCCAGGAAGAGAAAGGTGACCGGCTCGTCCTTGGAAACGTCATGATCCAGCACCTGTAGAACCACAAAGAAGGAAATTAGCTGGGTTGGCACCTGTCCCTCCCAGGCCACCATCAAAGAACCTTCTGCAGGGAGTGTCTCAGTATTTTTCTCCCTTCTAAATTCAGCACATTTCCCAAAGGTTGTGATTCTACAGTTTGAGGCATTCACAAAGCCATCTCTAACAAGAGGCAATGTTCACTTCACATGGTGTTTCTGAACCAAATTAATCAATATCCCCAAGTGGTGAGTGGAGCTCAGATTATTGAGGTGCAAATGTTTTCAAGACCACAGAGATAGCTAAAAACGAGAAATTTACGGCTCAAAGGTCTTGGGCACTGTACTTTACGGCAGGCTGAAGGTTTTTTAATTTTCTCAAGTAGTGGCATCTTCCTTTATTCCTTTGTCTTGCTGCCTCCCTCCAACATATAGGTCCATGTTGGAATGGAGCTTAGAGAGGATGAACTAAATCTTTGTGAAATCATTTAAATATTAACCAAGCAACAGACATGAAACGTGTCCATCGTGGCAACCTTTTGTTTCAAGGAACCTCTAGAAATGCCCCACAAAATACTTGAGCACAGCCAGTAAACCACACTGCCTTTAATCTTCTAACAATTTCATCCACCCACTGGAAAGCTTGAACCATCTGCTCTCCAGAATGAATTTCATCTCAGGACATAAACATGCCATGTGACAGGCTACAAGGATCCATTAACATGTGTCATAATTTATTTCCTTTGAGCAGCAGGCTCCACAGCTCCTGATGCCCCCAATCTAATATCCATTTGGCCAACGCTCAGGTACGGTGTAAACTTCACTTTGCTGAGAATCATAAAAAGACACAGAAGGTTTTTGTGGCCACAGACCGACCAGACCAGCACGCAAAATAAAAGTCTGTTTCAAAAAATAGACACAGAAGGTTTTGCTGCCTTTGGTAGATAACTGTCCAGGCTCCTGCTCAAATTCCAGGTCACAGCACCCAAGAGATTCAAAATAAACCTGACTGAGGACACTCTTGCTGACACTGGCACACAGAGGCACTTGGACATTTATGATCGTTGGGAATTACCGTGTGAAATTTATAACCAGAATGGATCTCAACGTGAAGATTCAGATGACTGTGTATATATGTAAACACAATGTGAACACTTGAGTGTAGAGTCAAATTGGTAAAAGACGGGGGGCATTCACTGTTACCATGCCAAGTAGTAGATAATAAAATCAGGTAGGCAATTGTAGGAGGTAATGTGGGGTAAGAATTAGACACTTACTCTGAGATTCAGGAGTCTGTTAGGAGTTACTGACCAAAAAAATGGCCCTGATCCCAGCGTCTTCACGGCTAGGTAGGCAGGTAAGCAGGGGAGTGTCTTTGTGTGCACAGTTCCCCGAGGCAACATCCTTTCTAAACCACATTAGAACTGCTGGGAGTCCAGACTTGTCCACCAAGGCTCAGAAGCCCCAGAAAACCGTGAGAACAAAACAGACACCCTGCCTTTCCCGCAGGGACCAGGGCACTCTTTATTCTTTAGATCATGTTAATGAGTAAATTAGGTTGGGCCATGGTGTTTCTCAGAAAGACTCTAAAAAATTCACTAAAGAGCATGAGCCCCAAGAAAAATCTTTCAAAGACGTAAATTATTTAAAAAAAGAAAAAAGGCAATACAATAGTAATTTTTATTCACAAAGGCTGACTCGTGGCCCAGTCAATTGAACAGCATAAAGGCTGATGCAGTCAGCCCAGTGACAACGAGTGAAGGAGACAGGGATGGCAGCGGGTCAGTCCTGGGTGCTGCTGGCCCAGAGGGCCCAGGGGAGTCTGCAGGGAGCAGAGAGGCTGGGCACCTCCAGACCCGTGTTCCAAGTGACTTGTCCCATCTCCACTGTGCATCCACAAAGCCCCATGATGAGCAACAAGCCAGAGAAGCACTCAGGGAAAAACCAGAGACCACGCCAGCCCCACTGATTTCATTAGGGTCCAGTCCCACCTTCTTGTCCATCTTGAGCCAGGCCACAGTGTCCTTGATCGTGTACTGCAGTCCAAAGAACCAGGTTTCCCGAAGCCCCAGGGTCCGGCACACCAAGTCAAAGAGGTCCTTCCCCTTCCACTTCATCTGCAATGTAACAAACCAATGGGGAAGGACAGCGTGAGGTCAAGTCATAATCCGCTCTCACGAAAACCTTTCTGTGCACCCCCTACTCTCAGGTTCCAAAACGTGGGGCTGACAGCCACGAAGGTGGCTGATGAGCACAGAATTCCTAAATAATTGTAAAGCCTCCTGCACAAAACCGTGAGTGGGAAAATACCAATTAGAGCTTAATGGCTTAATCACGGCAAAGCATACACAATACCTCCCTTGGACAGTTCCTTACAGATCTTAATATCCCCAAAGCTGCTAATTTAGGAAAGCTGGTAAATAGCTTCCGCATTTACGAGAGCCGAGCCTCTCCAGTTAACCCAGGGTTAGCTTCTAGGGACATTAATTTCCTTGAGATTCTGTTGTTGATTTTCTTTTTAATCATGACTCTGCCCTTTGATAAAATGCTAGCTGTTTAAAATTTAAAGACTAGTTTTACCAGATTTTTTTTAAAGTAATATAGGGGAGGAAGTTGTAACCAAAGTCACAAATCATAGAGAAAAAAAAACATTAGGGACCAATCCGTCCAATCATACATAACCATGTATATAATATGTACGTATATAATCATGTCTGACCGGGATCACAGGGGAGGCATCTCACCCACAGTCACACAGAGCAATTTCAGACTCCTGTGTGAACACTCAGGGGACAGACACTGTACAGTGTTGTGCGCTAATCCTACAGCCTCACTTTCAAAAGGACCTGAAGCAAAGGCTGCTAAACCCTTTTCTCAGCTCTTCAATCTTGTGGCTGGAAAAGCAGGTTCATCATCTTAACAGGGAAAGGAAACACCCAGCAGCTTAGTAAACGTTGCCACCTTGTGGCTTTGAAGTTAAATCAGCCAGGATGTTCCCAATACTACCCCATAGCCGCCACGTGCCCCGACCCCAGTGGTCCCCAAGTATCAGGTGGACATCAAGCGTACACTGGCTACAGGGGTGAACACAAGACGCACCACAGAGACCGTGGTGGTAGTGGAATAATCTTGGGATTCAAATACAAGGTCTCCAGACGAGCAGTACCACCCAACTGCAGAAGCGTCTGCCCGCCTGCCCTTGGAAATGTCCACCCACAGGCGTGGGGGTGGAGCTCAGGGGTAGAGCATGTGCTGGGCATGCATGAGGTCCTGGGTTCAATCCCCAGTGCCTCCGTTAATGGGAAAAAAAAAATAAAGAAAAACTAGAACTCTCCACCCAATGTCCTGGCACACTGAAGATGCATAACGAAAAGGAATTGGGGGGGTTTTTAGGGTTTAGAGATTTCTTATAAAAGCAAGAAGGAAAACATAAGTTAGACCTCTAATATGTGATTGGTTTCTGCTGAAACCTCTTTCTACAGAGGATTTTTCAAGCAGGCCTTCTATTTTTAACAGATGTGAATGGACAGTGTGTTCTCCACTAGGTACTCAACAGGAAAGCCCTGCCTTTCTCGGTGTTTACAGTCAGTCAAAGAGCAAAGTCAAAGTCGAGAGCCCTCGACGGAAGGACAGCAAACCCAAAGCAGATGAGGGAGTGGAGAGAAAGACCAGCTTTTGTCCTTCCCTGGGGCCATTTCTCCAAAAGCCCCTCTAGCTCTGCCTTGTCCCCTCCATGTGACTTTAGTGGGGTTCCTGGAACCCTACAAAGGTTGAGGTCCTTAAGAATTATTTTGAGTAGAACAGAATGAAATGACATGTTTCATTTTAAAAAGACAAACTCTTTTCCTTTTTGGAAGGCTTAACAGTGCTTGCTGGCACACCTGTCTCCCAGTCTGACAACAGGACAAAGGGTTTTTAATTCGTGGCAGCAGGTTTTCATTCCTATGGGCAGACTTCACTGAAGAAATGTTACTTTGTGGAACTAGAAGCTTCAGCATGCTGATTATCCTCCTGTCTGTATTTTAAGCCAGCACATAGTATATGAATTATAAATGACTACCGGGCTACAAGGTAATTTAACACTTAGAAGCAGACATTAACTTGGAGAAGTTAAACACCCAAGGGCCGAGAAGATCAAGGTAACAATCTCCAGTCTGCCATAACTCACGGCCAAGGCCAGCGGGCCCTGGCGCCAAGGGGCTGTCAGCAAGTGGGTGTGCGGTGCATCTCAAGGAAAGCGACCGAGAGAATGCTGAGTGGGTCTCCTGACCTGGGAGCTTCAATTCTCAAACATAATATTGTAGTAATGCAATTTTCCTGTGTTCCTTTCCTTGTCTTTGTTTCTAAGACGCAAGACTATCTCTGTTGAATGCTCCCATGGAGTTTGCAATGAAGTGAAGAGGGGAAAAATTCTCATGCTGATTCAGCATGCCTGGCTTGGACTTTCAACTTTGACCCTAAAAATTGAAGGATGTCAAATTAGAAAAATGAGCCTGAGTAATTGATTACCTATGGTACACCTGTCCCTTTCTGGTGTAAATAAGGAAACGGAGCCACAGATTCATTGACAGCTACAGCAGACGTAGGCCTTTTCTTGGTAGGCTACCCCGCCAGTTCCTCCATCTCCTCTTTGCCTGCTCTGTGGGGTTCCTCTAGGCTTGCTCCCTGCTGCCACTCCCCAGCCACCTTTTCCAGTAGGTAACCAGTGTCTTAACATCTTCCACCCTAAAACAACACTGGTTCTCAGAACAGCCAGATCTCACTCCTCTACAGCACAGGGTGAATGAAAGCCTCAACTGCCTCTCATTTAGTCTTGCGGCCAGCGGTACAGAGCTCATCCTGTGCACCGAGCCGTGTTAGACCCTGAGGATGCGAAACAGCAGAAGCATGTTCCCCGCAGGAGACTCAAGCAAGGACCCAGGTTGGAAAAGGCTTGAAAGAACAAGGGGGAATTAGATAAAGGAGGAAAGGAAATAAGTCTACAAACAAACAAACTTAAATCATGACCTCTACAGGGACCTGCTCGGCATCCAGCAGAGGTGAAACAGCCTGAACTCAGAGGACGTGGGGAGGGGATGGGTGTGACATGACCCAGGTGGCTCACTACCTGAGGACCCTTGGGCAGAGTAAGGATGAGATCAGACCTGCATTCTGGAATGTGCGCAGGCAACAGGGTGGAGAATGGGTTGGAGGAAGGGAGCCTGGAGCCAAGAAGGGCCAAAGGCAGGCCAACTCCTGCCTTGACGGAGGCCCAGTGGGAAGGAGAAAGCCTGAGAACTGGAAGGAGGCAGAGCCCCAGAACTGGCATCTGAATGCCTGAGGGGGCTGATGGAAAAGGACCAAGAGGGACGCCTGAATTTCTGGCTCGAGCATCAGGTGGTTCCAGTAAAGGAGGGACGGGGTACAGGAGAAGCAGGAGCAGCAAGTTTCAAGGGGAACAGATGAGTAATTAAGTTTTAGACAAAGAAAGTTAAGGTGCCTGAGGAAACCAGGTAGAGATGTCCTAAATACATTTGATGCTAAGTCTCAGCTCTATTTACAAAACAACGCGTTCTATTTTTAAGTCATTATGAAATTTTTCTCTTGGGTTAAATAAATCTAACCTCCGCGGCGCCAAGCCGTGCCATTACCTACAGGAGGTAGGTGACGTGCCATCCCCACGTGTCTGAGGCTTGCTTAATCTTCCTAACTTGTGTTTCTACTTTACAAACAAGAGCCACACTTGCTGGTGGTTCCCAGGACACCATGCAGAAGGGAGGTCTTGGGCTGTGAGGGGGATTCATTGGTGCTGACCGATTGTCTTCAGTTTTATCACTGGTCCACACACTGGTGCTGATGGGGAGAAGTGATGTGACCATGTGAACATCTCCCTAGATTGTAGGCACCTCAACATTAGTCATCTCTCTACTCCCCACTGCACCCAGCCAAGTGTGTACACACAAGACATGGCCAACGGCGGCTGTCCAATGGAATACACTTGATCACTTCAAAAAGCCAAGGCTCAAAACCCTAAAGCAAAATTAATCCCCATTCATCCAACCCCTTCCAAAAACATTCAGGGAACAGACATTGTGTCCGAACCCCCTCTCCCGAGATGCAGGGGATAAAAGGGGGACAAAAGAGACAGTCTCTGCTCTAATAGAACACAGGGCATGAGAACAATCTGTGGGAACAATCTCTCCCCTCACCCCCACCTCACATCAACTCCAGGACTTCAGTACTACAGCACCGATTGCCACAGCGGGGACATCAGGGCTGGAGGGGACGCCGGGAAGGGATCCTCTATCTTGGAGGGTGGGAAATGGCATCTGAACTGGTGGGAAAGAGGAGCCAAGTGAAGACTGGGCTTGGGGAAGGAGGAGCAAGCGGAGAACTGTGTTACAGGCAGAGGGAAGAGCATATGCGAAGGTCTAGAGGCAAAAAAGCTTAGACGGTCCTTGCAGGAAATCAAACTATAGTAGTTCAGTTTGGCCAGAGAACAGAGACTGGGGAACATCTGCTGTGCTTCCAGCCACCACCTAAAACCAATTCTCTGTTGCCTAACTCTGCCTCTCTCGTGTGAACCACGGAAAGCAGAAAGTTATCTGAGTGTTTTTACCTTTTCACCAAGGATGGAACACAACTAGTACCATTCGAGACGTACAGTAAAGAAGGTAAATTATTACACAAGATGGAAGCCTCAGGAGATTAGGGCTTAATTCTTTCCAGAAACCAGTCGGAAAGGCAGAGAGAAACAATGGTTATCTAACAACAGTGTGAACCTCAGCGCTGCCACCACGTGACCTTGGGCAAGTTATTGAACTTCCTTGTGCTCTGCAACGGGGATAATGAACAGAACCTGTCTTAGCAGATTGATCTCAGGATTAAGTGCACTGATACATTTAAAAAGCCTAAGAAGATACCGCAGTAAATACTCAATAAAGGTGGGTGATTACTCATTCTAACCCCACCTCCACCCCTTACATTGCTGAGTGGCATCGTTTAAAGCCTCCAGTCCTGTTCCACTCCATGTGTGATGGATGGCAGATCAGAAAGGGCTCCATCAATCCTCACGGTGCTAACCATGCCATCACTCATGTGACAAACATTTATTGAGCAAGCACTACGTCCTAGTCAC